CGCTTCCTCCTCCATCCGTTTGAACTCCGCCTCAACCCACTTGTCATAGGGTTCAGGCCCCGGCTGACCCTCCTCTTTAGCCAGAATGGCGAGATCTGCATATTTGTAGGCGAGCTCACAGACGTTGTAGTCTTTACCCGGATGGATAATGGAGAAAGCCCTCAACATTCTGTTCTCGCAGTCTTGCTCATTCTCCTCAATGAGCCGGTTCTGTTCTGCTTCAAGGGTGGCTTGGAAGTTGCCCTTTGCAGCAGCCGCCTCTTTGATCAGGCAGTCATTCTCTTGTTGCAGGCGGGTGCTAGCCTTCTCCTCCTGATCCAGCCGCTTGAGGGGCTTCTCATGTTTCTTGAGCTCCTTCTCGGCATTGTCCAGCGCCACCTTGAGATTGTCCAATTTGACCTTGGACTCATTGAGGGCCTTCTGGAGGGTCTTGACCTGGTCCGCCTGTCGCATAATTATAGATTTAGTTTCTAAGTCATGCACAATCATTGAATATTCAGCAACGTTATGTGTGTCATCCGCAAAACGTTTGGCTCTCCTTACCTCCTTCTGTTTGCGTATGTAGGCCTTTTTGAGCCCTTCCACGCGCAGCAGTGCCTGCAACAATACAACCGGCGTCAGTAGAAAAACCGGATGTGCATACATCAAATAAAATGTCGGATGGTTACTTCAAACTTACATCAGCTAGCTCGACCATTACACGGTCGGCGTTGAAGGTGTTGATCCCAGGGATCGCCTCCTTCTCGTCCCGGGGGACGGCTTTCAGCATGGCCCGAGCATACTGAGCTGCATCCGGCCAGCGGGGGGAATTATCTGCACCAGAAACAGACGGTGAGAAAGTTGCATATGCTCCGCCTATAGATTGCCGGCTGATTGGAGAATCTCCCGGCTGAGACTGAGAATGAGACTTAACCCGCATGGGCAGGTCAAGCAGCACGAGGATGAAGGGATTTGTACCTTGTTGTTGGAGACCTCTCTGGCCTCCGTCAGTAGAAGGACCGGTTGAGGTCCTTATTGGTGTGACCTCTCTCGAGGCCGCTTCAACAGTAGACCCGCCTGGGGTCTTTATTGATTTACCGCTGGTAGAGGGCCGGGCGGTGGATGTGGTCTTCTGCACCTTAGATGCAAGCTCCACTACAGTCGGCCTCGGCCGAATCTGCTTCTGTAGGGAGCGAGGAGCTTTGCTCCCATCCTGAAACAAAGTGCCAAACGATAAAAAAAAACGAGCAAAACGGGGGTAAAGCAAACAAATCAAAGATAAGTCAGACGGTCTAACCTTCTTAGCCACCTAAGCAGCAAGCTTTTTCTCCAGATTCTTCTTGCGGATGTCTGAAGCCTTCCTAGCAGGCGTTTCCTCTGTCGGCAACATGTCATTTGCTTCTTCTGCAAAACACAAATCAAATACGTCCGGTCAAGGTCAGAACAATAGCAAACAGGCATTGTAATCAAAAGAAAATTGTCATCCGGCATAAATATGCCGGATGAGGCTTTTAACCTACGTTTTTCGAACATGCTGCTAAGCCCGCAGGCGGACAAAAAATCCTCGTCCCTTAGAAACTCATGTTTAGGCACCCAGTTTCTGGGCACCCTTATTACCTCTCCAGTTGAGAGGGTGGAAGGGACGAGCTCAAAAAAGTGGGAGTCTAGGATTGCTTCCCTATCCCTCTCCGGCACTGGGGGCATCCGGCATTTCTGCCCCAAAAGTTCAGGTTTCCGGTTGTATGTCCGTAACTCTCTGCTTTCCTCGTTGGTTGGAGCCTTGACCAGGTAGAAGCGGCTCTTCCAGTCCGACCACTTAGACGGTTTGTCAAGTGTCATGAGGTCCTGGGGGTAAGTGGTCAGGGTGTACCAGGCTCTTCAGCCGCCTGGGCTCCTACTCAAGTAGTGCATATGGGCAAACGCCTCCCATCTGGGGTTCAGATCCTGCATTTCGCAGGCGGCGATGTACCCGAGAATATTCACCCAAGAGTTGGGGGTGAGTTTCCAAATGCCCAGGCCATACCCCCTTAGTATGGCCTTTATTGTGTCATGAAGAGGGAAGCGGAGCCCCGCCAAGAATGCCGCCTCGTAGCAGCCAAACCAGCCGTCTGCGTTGCGCTGGTCATCCTCCCAAGCAATTGTCCCCTTCGCAGGCGGGACCACCAGTTTATATCCCGTTCCAAGGGGCCGTTTGAGGACGAAATCAGCCAAGTTGTTCTGCATCATGGCCCTATCTTTGGCAGAGACGGTGATCATCAAAGGATCACCCTTAGTTTGCCAGGAGGGTCTCTCCTCCTCCTCACTATCGACGGATGTTGTTAGATAGCTAGAGCTGCACTCCACAGGACCGAGAGCAGAGCCGAAAGCGGAGGAGGATCGGAGGCCTCTTGGGACGAGTTTCTTCGTTCTACTGAGGCGGCTTCCTCACCGCCTCCCTGATTAGAGCCTAGAATGCTATCACTAGGCGTACTAGGAGTACCTCCGGGAGATCCCACGGCCGCCTCAATAGGGGCCCTCTCATCAGGCGGCAACTCGTCAGAGCCACCGCCTCCGTAATTGGGGTCCACAGCCGTCTTCCTGGTTCTGGCCATTGTGTCCTGCACAGACACGGAGACGGTCGGATTGGGAGACAAACAAGGCAAATCCCAGAGTCTATAGTCGGTGTTTCCAGTTCTAGACTCAGCCGTACTATTAGACCGGCTGGTCTCATTATTATGTTCCGGATGGGGGTATAAAGGGTCCATCTAACTATGGGACAAATAAACAAGAAAATAAACAAAAGACTCAAGCATAAATACATGGGAGAGCTTGAAAGAATAAAGGCGGTACCTAAAAGAAAGAAGGAGAAAACCGCTTGGTCGCTGGAAATTTCTTGGGTTTGCTTGCGAAGACACAGGCGTCTCTTGAGCCGGCTGTGTTGTTTGAAGTGCAGGTGCAAATTTGGCTTGCTATCAAACCCCCCAGACGGTTATAAACCAGATGCTCACGCGGAAACTATCTCAGAAATACTCTCAATACCGGCTGCTCTCGAAAATCAGAAAATTTGCAAAGTTTGTAAATGAAGGCTCGGGGAGGAGACTTGGCTATAGGCTCCTCCTCAGAAGGCGAAGAGTCCTGACCCTTCACCTTCTGCTTCTCCCGCCTTTTCACCCAAACAGCCAGAATCCAAGATATTCAAAAAAAAAAAAGTTCTTCACAGGTGCCACGTGGCACGGCCACGTTAGCACCTGTGAGGGGCAAATGTTTAGGGTAAAAATTACCCTAGACACGTGGCCCAATGGGCTGGTGACACGTGGCGCATCGTCATTAGTCAACAGGGCTCCAATCCCCTGTTGACACGTGTCCTTGGTACCCTACATGGGGGACTTGTCTGTCCCACTATAAATAGTGGGGGCAAACCTCATTAATGGGGCATTCATAAATACAAACACTATTACCGAGCAATATTAGTTGCGGAATTCTCCCAATCAGCGAGAAGATCTTTACCTATTCCGTATTCTTTCCTCCTGTACGTATACTAACTTGATCGTCGGAGGCGAAGCTCCTACCAACCGGAGTCTTCGTGATCTTGCAGGTACGGGCATCGGCAGCTCAGTCTTGGAATCGTAACTCTCCCGCAGGATACAACAAAACACCCCGAAACACCCCCAATGCCACTTTGCAGCGATAACAAAATGATACCCTAATAGAAAAAGTGTAAATTAGGGTCATATCAACCCCTTAGGGAAATCCTCTTTTTCGCGAAAGCAATTTTAACCACCATAGATGGTGGTGGTGGCGGCGGTTTGCAATAGAGATTTCATGGAGGAAGAAGGTGGGTTGTTGTAATGGAAGAATGGAGAAGGGAGAAAGAAAGAAATGAAACTTAAAAAATTATCCCTAATTAAACAAATATTGCTTGTCAATCAGACTGATCAACAAGTATTTCTTCCTAAAGTGTGTGTTAAAGTGGTATGTTGAAAATAAATAAATACATATTAATGGTAAAATTATTTCAATTAATTTGTCCATTTATCAAGTTTATATCAGACTTAAAGTGCGTGTCAAATAGGTATGTTGTAACTTGCAATAATAAAAACAAAGGAAATACATATAGCAATATTTGACTCACAAGCTAAAACTCTTACCTTATATCTCTAGGTTTTAGACTCAAATCTTACTAAGGATGCATAGTGTTGAGGGAATGAGGATTAGACTATTATCGCACATGAGTATGCTTTTCTTATATGTATCAATGGAAATTCTTCGTCAAAAAATTTCAGTTGTTTAATAAAATATTTTACGAAATACATTAGACTACCATAAAGGAATAGAGGTAACGGTAGACTAGGGAGATTACTCAAGTTAAAAAAAAGTACCAAATATAACAAAAATATTCCGATGTACTCCTATTATAAAAAATACTCCATATCATAAAAATTGCTCAAAAACATCAACACAAAAGGATAAGCCGATATAAATCATATGATTAAGCATACAATCAAAACAAAAGATGCAAATATCCTCAAATTGGAAAAAAAAGAAAATATATTAGTCTAGAAAATGTTATTGATGATCTTTTATTCTTCTACTAAAATAAATCACACTACATTGACACTGTTACAAACTTTGCGCAAATTAACACCGTGTTCAGTTCACCTTTTTTTTTGCTAAATTAAAATTATTTTTACTTTACTAAATCAATTTTTTGATTTTTTTCTTTATATTTCTTCAATAAAATTGTTGATTTTGACTGAATTAAAATTATTTTTTAATATTATTTTATTAAATTGAAGTTCTTAAAAATTACTGATTTTAAACATTATTTTATTAAATCAAAGTCAACAAGGCCTAAACTTTTGTGATTTATGTACTTGTATGTAAAAAGAGTTACACTATTTTAACGGTATAGTTAAACAATGACAAATCAATTAAGAAACATGTGAACTAATTAGGAACAGAGGAAACATTTTGTTCGATTTCAAAAATGTACAGAGAGAGAGAGAGCAAGAGACCTCAGCATAATCACAAGGAATAGCTTGAACCAAGAACGGATCAATGTCCATTTTCACTAGTTTAAGAGGATTTAAGGACATCTGAAACAATAAAAGGGTGTTTCTATTATTTTGAAACGGATATAATAGTACATAAGTGGATTTCTTCACCAAAAGTCTAAAAACTAAAAGTGCAACTAGTGAACAAATAAATAACAATTTTCAAGGTTATACAAACTACTGAGCTACAGCTGATATACACCTTTACCCAGCATGACGTGCAAGTCATGGCTGGTTCCCATCGCCCGATTTACAACACTTTTGTGAACACCGGCAAAACTGTGGTATATTACAGGATCTCCTGGCCGGAAGGGGAGCAACCTGGCCAACCCTCAAGAACTTGTACATCTGAGGGAGGATTAACCAGGTACACTCCAGGGGCCAGAGGGCTCCGAGTGTTTAGTAATGTTTCCAATATAATTTCAGAAAGTTTGTCTATAAGATATCATCCAAATCGTCTGGTACATGCAACTTTTCAATGGCAGCCTGGAAAACACAACCAAACTTTTCAATTACTTTGTATTAAAGAGCAGCATAACTGGTTGAAAGCCTTTCCAACAAGTAAAAATCATCTCAAAGCATAAATCAGTTTATTTTATGAATCAAAGAAATAATACGATCTATGTAAAACACACACACACACACAAAATAAAGAATCACAATAAAGCAGGGTGTGATGAAGCAACTATTACTTTCAATCTGTCAATATTTCTGTATTAGGAATCCAATTGGACAATAAATAGTGAAAGAAGCCAATCCATATCAAAGTCCATAGATGCAAGAAGTTACCTTTATGGTGGCAACATCTGTTGCTGATGGTTTCAAGTCTAGGGCCAATCCAAAATGCAACATGGCCTTATCATACATGTTCTTCCGCTTATAGATCTTACCAATCAAAGCATAGATACTGCATTCACGGGGTGCATATTCCTTGAGCTCTTCCAAGACCCTTAGAGCTTCATCATAGTTATCCATACCAGACAGTACAATAGCCTTTTGATACATGGGAAGAGGATTCTTTTTATCAGCTAAAATAGCTTTTTCCATCATTGCCAACGCTTCCTCATTTCTCTATTCAGCAACATAAAACAGTTGGATAAGGATAATGGAAAGAAATTTGTCAAACAGGAAACTAACACCCACAACATAAGCATCATACCCTTAGAGCATGCAGGGCTGTTCCAAGATATGACATGATTACAGAAGAGTGCGGATTAATCTTGAACGCAACTTGAAAATGATGTTCAGCAAACTCAAACTTCTCTTGGCGAAGGTAGACCATTCCAAGACCGTACCATGCATTGTAATGTCGTGAATCAACACGGAGAGCATTCTGAAAGCTTTTAATTCCACTCTCAAAGTCCTCCAAAGCAACAAGCTCGTGACCACAGAGAGTATGAGCATAAGCGAATCTTGAATTAAGTTGCACAGCTCGCTGAAAATTTTTCAAAGCTGTATCATGATCTTTTTGCAAGCTGTAACAATTTCCCATGGCACACCTGTACAGCCAAGTAACATAAAATTAGTGTCAGGTCCAGAAGATATGCAGAAAAGAAGAACCAAACGAGAAATATAGGTGGTAGGTCAAACTCAAAAGCTAGCGAGAGCCAGCAAGTGAAGTCACAATCCATCATTGTGTTACTCTTTAGGTTCAATTACGTTTTGAAATTAACAACCAAAAGAACACCACACAGAACATGATAAACTTTCCAAAGATATTGGATATAAACTTGAATGATAAAGCTTTAGTCAAATGTGTTAAATTAATTCCTAAGTAACACGGAAGCAGAAACCAGATGAGAAAACATTAAAAGAAGGGGTGGGGGTGCAGATCTGGAAAACAGCATAAACTTAACAAATAAACACAGAAAACAATTGTATAATACAGTCTCTTGTTTTCTTGTATAAACTTAACAAATAAACCAGCTGTTCAAGAATTAAATTCAGTCTTTTTACGAATGTCCCTTACAAACTACCCCCCGCCCCAATTCTTTGTTCAACACAGCTATGGATGCTGTTAACCTAAAGATCCAAGGTGGTTGAGTGGTGGACTGATGCATTAAATTCTGAGGAAATGCCAGATATGTGAGTCTGCCACGCCCCACACATCATTTTGGATCTATTACTCCAATCATTATTCAATTATTTTAAGAGAACAAAACATTTCATCAGCTCTTTGGTAATATTGATGCATTTTATTTTTCAAAGATGACTTTGTATCAGACACCAAAACAGGACCATCCATTCATCCAAGCACAAGGCACATGAACCCACAAACCAGAACATGAAGAAGTAGCTAATTACTTGACCTCAAGAAAGTAGATGATAGGTATATGGACATGTTGGAACCAAAACTGTTGACAAGCTTAATTTTTATTAAATGTTAAGACTTGACAAGTTAAACCAGCTTTAAGACAATCTAACTTAGCATATACTACCTCCATTTCTAAATGACATCAACACTTTCAATATTGGTTTGTTTCTAAAAGATTATTTCAATATTCAAATTATTCTATTTTTGGCAAACCCTTTTTATTACATTACCCTTAATAACCCTACAATATTTTCATAATTTCACTCACTTTTACTTTATATCCACCTTTAAACCCCCCCCCCCACTTTTTTACCTTCACTATCTTACTTTTAAGAATAGACCTTCACTATCTTACTTTAACCACCTTTTCATACACTGATCAACTCACTCACCAATTTTCTTAAAATTTGTGCAAATAGTAAATTTTAAAATTAATGAAAACGGAGACAGTACAAGAGAAACTAAACAACTGCTGCTCAAACTTATATGACAAACATGTTTAAGGATCCATCAGAAAGTACCATGTTTGAGGAGCCAAACGGTCAATTGACAGCAGCTCCTGAGCCAGGTAACTTAGTTTCATATCTTCCTTTAAATGCTGCAACAAAAAAATAAAAAAATAAAAAATAATAATAATAAAATAAAATAAAATAATTCCAATTCCACGTCACATCCAAAATACAACCAACTCAAACCCTCTTCAGATACCGAGGGATATAAAGAGATACAGTGCAAATGAGAAATTGAGGACACAAAAGATGGTACTCTTGTAGTGTCATTATATGAAGCTCGTATAGAAAACATATTCCGGGTTTAGGAGTTCAAGTAATAGCCACAAGATCATAAATAAATAAATAACTCACATAGAGAACAGTTGAGTAGACATCCATCCCATCTAAGCTGCAAGGACATTGGCGTCGAGCGAGACTGAAGGCGCGATCAGCTTCCAAATAATCCACTAATTCAAAATATGCTCTCCCGACCTGCATAAACAACCAATCAGTATAGACAGCAACGCTTTCTATAAATGCTAGATAGCTCATAACAGAATTATTTAAGCACATTATCTCAAGGATAATAGAACTGTTAAGCTACAATTCTGGAAGTAATTAATTATCAAGCCCCTCTACCACCCAAGTTCTGGCCTAATTTCACTCCACTAAATAGCCTAAACACTATGACACAAATAAAGGAATAAGATTGATCAATTTGTACAATGACCTAATGTTAGTGCTAAATCTAAATATCTCCTGCATAGAAATTTTTACACTCACAAGTGGTTATGTGAAGCACCTAAATAACAAAAAGGCAATGCCTAATAATTATGAATTGAAACTAGACTCATAATTTATATCTATACAAATTTTCTCAGCTCGTTCATCTAACAATACCAGATACGAATCAGGTGGTCTGAAAGAGCCAAAACAGGACAAGAAAGGATGATCCTAAGAAAGCACAGTCCAAAAATTCAGAACTGTAGTTGTTATCCACAATTAATTCTCAAATAAATCTGATCAAGACCATAAAATGTGTTGTACTACACCCAGTCCTACATATTAATATGTTGTAATACAACAGTCACAACAACTCATGCAACATTGATGACAAAACAACAGGCGCATTCAATGCATATTTCAATTACACGATCTTAATTTACGATTTTCAATGATAGAATTGGACATTACTTTTCATCAGAGAAAACAAAAGACATAAAAACATTACAGTATATATTAGATGTTATGTTATAATTATTATCTCTCCTAAAAAAGACACCATTGAAACTACAAGCTCCAGTTTTACTCCTATTAAGACTCGTTACATCAGCAGCAAAATGCTCTACAGTGGCAATACCTGGGAAAGCACCCAACCAGTACTGTAATGTTTATACGGGAGTTTCTTATAGATCTCCAATGCATCCTACAAAACCAGGAGGGAAAAATATTAACTGGCTATTACAGCATTAACAGGCAGCAAAGTTATATACTTCATTTTCTTTAAATCGCACTGTTTGGTATGGGCACAAGATTTAAGAAAAACAGTAAAAGACAGGGAATGTCAAATGAGCCCATGTGATACAAACAAATGAAAGAAAGAAAAGGTAGGGTGATTATGGTTGTTAATCTTGTTATCACATGAGAACAAAGGTAGGGTAGGGTATTTTGTGTGTGAACACAAGCAAAAAGTGAATCAAACATACCAAATGAGGAAATGGTGCAATTAATATGCAACTTCCCAAAAAGGAATATGGTGTAATAAAAAAAATAAAAAATAAAAAAAGAGGAAGTATATAACAAAATTGATATCCTCAAGCTGTCAAGCAGGCATCTACAGCAGCACAGTTCAGTTGCTTAAGCAGACAGAAATTATTACCTGGCACTTGTACATGCAAGATAGTCTAAAGCCATCCCCCAAGAGTCTCCATAAGCCTAAGATTTCAAGAGCCCCGTTATGGACTTCAGAATCATCAGGGATATTCCTACATATATTCATTGAACCACCATCCTGCTCCGTAAACCCAGCATCAGAAAAGGAAGATGTACTAATACTTGCTTGTGTATTAAATCGCGAATCACTAAAGGCTTCATGGCGATTTCCTGAAGGAGACCTTAATTGTAAGCAAATCTAGCAATGATCTAATTTTAACCAAAGATAATCATGTAAAAGAGAGATCTATGTAAACAAAAACACACTTTCAAAAAAGAATAAATTTTCGAACTATTAACAGAATAGCATGCAAAAAAACATCAAAATTAGGTTTTTTTTTAAAAAAAACAGAAAAGGCAATTATGTGCACAAATTTAGCACTGAAGCTGAATTGCTATTGCTACTACCTACTAGCATCACTGACAGCCTATAGATTAGCACTGAGATTCCATGATTAAAATATACAAATAAATAAAATAAAATAAAAAAACAGGTAATGAAAGATGAAAATTGACCTGAATTCTATTTGATGATTATTTTGGAAGACATAGCTGACCACCAAATTAAATTTTCTAATCAATTATTAACACAAGGGAGAGTCTACTAAAGGATTAATGGGCAAAACACAGCCAATTTACAGCACATCCCTAAGAAATTCCATGTAAATCCAAGATACAATTTGTGAAATGAGTCAAACTTCAGTCATCACACAAGTTTATTGCTTTTGCATAAAGGAAAGTAGAACATGAACATTCACACAATGGTAATTTAAAGGTGCCATGTTAAGTCAATAGCACATTAACGAAATCAATATAAGACAGTCACTTGGGGTTGGAGACACAAAAGGTATTCAGACAAATTCTATAACAATCAAGTTCAGATACTATAACTCCAAAGTTTATCACCTTCTTCAAAACTTTCATTTGGCCCTGCCTGCCCTTTCCGAAGTGTCACTGAGCGTAATCCTACATTGCCCAACCTAGAACTACCAGCATTTTTTAAGGAATGAGTGGTTCCATTCCCAGTTGATGAAGTTGTCGTTGTATTGGTGCTTCCTCCTGCATCCCCTGAAAGTCGTGTATTTCTTCTGGGAATAGAATCAGAGAATAATCTGCCGGATATCTGAAGAACAGAAATAAAAAGGATGTTACCAATATACTACAGCAAAGCACTAAAAGAATTATCAGTAGGTAGCTTTAGATCCTCTATCCTGGATAAGACTTCCTCAGAGCTCTTTTAAACCATAAAACTTTACCTATGTCAGACAAAGAGCAAACTAACTGCTAAATAGATAATTTTTACTGAAATAAGAACGAATAGAAGGGATCAAAATCATCACTCCTAAACAAAAATCATAGGAGCTTCAAGCTGTGTATTTCATTTCTAAGTTTCACATAATCAGAGCATCTAACATCAGATACAACAGAATCAGTTACAGCTGACATGAGAAAGATGTTAAAAAGAATATAAAAAAGGTATAAAACGAAAACCATCTTTCAGAAAAAGAACAAAAATCTTAATACCATTAATGAGAAAGATCATCCAAAAAACAGTATGTGCTTTAATAATAAAAAGGCAGTTCAAATTCTCTTTTCTTCAAGATTTCAATTGCAGAATTGTTTTGCAACTGGGATGTTACAAACAGATAATTCTACATACTTCAAGCCCAATCTCATTCACAAACTTAACTATGGTGTCAACAAGCAAAAACTCTCAATTAAAAAAATAAAGTAATAATAATAAAAAAGCCTCTGGCTCAATCAGTCAAGCTCAACTAAAGCTTGTTTTAGTTCATTCCCTCTGTCCCACTATAGTACTATACTTATCCTGTTTCTTTTTCCAATGTCCCAAAATAACATTTTCATTTCCTTGCATGGGGTCACAAAATTAGTTTTTATGCTAATTGTTTTCATTAAAAAAAATATAAATAAATAAATAAATAAATCCTATATTAAATAATCTATGCATGAGAAAGTGCTTTTTTTTTTTTTATTTGTGTGTGTTTTTAATTTAAGAATGTGTTGAATAAAACAAAAGCATTTATAGGTTTATCTCTCCCCAACATTGACTTGTGTAGTGTAATTTTCCAATTGAAACACAATTACAAATGTAAAAAAAAAAAAATGCAAATCGAGCATGTTCCAAACTCCTTAATTCCCATGAAATTTTCAGTTGTTTTTCACAATGGTTAAATTATAGTGGGATGGAGGGAGTATATTATACGAGCAAGCTTGAACAAATAAACTTGAAGTTGATCATAGATACACTCGTTCAATAAACTTAATGGCTTAATTGATTTATTCACAAATTTCAATTAAAATTAGTTTGTTAATCAAATAAAATGCTAGACATGCGGTCACAGGAATTGGTTAATATGCTTCATTTTGAGATTTTCTGACGTCAAAAGAACAAAACGTATTTCTAAGATAAGCTCATTTATGAGAAAAAAAAAAGAAAAAAAAAAAAAAAAACTCAATGTTGAACATTACTCAATTAATGAACAAGTTGGTCACAAACCACTATCAAGCACGACAACCTCCTAAATGAACCGAGCTTTAACAGATTTTTGAGCCCAGTTGAAACTTGAAAGCTCTAACTCGCCTAAGTTAATTGGCTATGAACATGAACAGGAGACGAACAGAGTAGAAGGTAGTACTTGGGCTAGTTTCGACTCGACGCGTTTACACTCCTAATTATCATCAATCACAACCTAACAAACAAACTAATTGAAAATTTATAAACTTTATCTCGTTAGTATTTTGACAAATTCAACATGAAAAAAACTAATATAAAAAAAAATGTTTCAAGGGGCGTTTGGTTCATTTTGGAGTATGGGTTTTAAAACACCAATACCCATACCACTTGTTTGGTTTATAATTTTTTTTGTAAATTTCATGCCTGTGGAGACCACCCAACAAAACCCTGTGGATTTTGGTTCTCACCCACTAGATAGTGTTAGATAAGGGGGTAAAGGGTGGTGCACAAGATGCTTTGAGAATAGAGAAAAAGAAGTTAGAGTCATGTAGTTTTGGTTTTAATTTTAATCTTTTATAATGGAAGAAGGGTAGAGGGATGAAAGAACTCAGGAGAAAGATGAAATTGGGAAATGAGGCATAAGTGGAGTGGATTGAGAAAAACGAGAGGGTTTTTTTTATCATCAATAAACATGAAGGTTTTTAGTTTTAGTAAATTGAACCAAACATGAGATATTAGGTATGGGTTTCTGGGTATCAATCATTTCATCCAATCTAAACCCATGGGTTTGAAACAAAAAACCTAAACCTGATACCATATGTCAAACCAAACGCCCCTTTAAGAGGGTTGGGTCAAAACCTTTCTCAATTTCCCTTCATCCAAAACCTTCCTTCGAGGGGCTAGAAGAGTCGTGCCTACAGTTGACCTTGGTGAGCTTTCACTGCTAGCTGGGGCAGTAGTTTGCTGTACATGCCGACAAACAGGTGGAGGAGCAACACCAGACATCTGCAATAGAAGGAAAAGATTAAAAGGCCATAGAAAAGCTAATACAAACAGAATTTTTCTCAAAAACACAAAGAATGATTTAGAAACATCCCTTCCACCTAAAAAGAAAAAAGAAAGTTCACACAACAACAACAACAACAAAAATTAACAATGGATGCTAAATTATAATTACTGAAAGCAACTTGTGCTCCACTAGGAAGAACTTGCTTTTAACTATCATAACTAGATCAGAATTTCAAAAGCAATGCAAGGACTTATGCAATCATTATATAGCTTTTAGATCACTCTTTTATGGTGAAATTTTTCAATTTTTTCTAACTACTGAAAGTAGAAAGTTGACAATATTGATACTACTCATAAAATATGTGGGAGGATGTGGACCCTCAAACTACTGACAGAAGGAAGTTGACAATATTGATACTACTCATAAAATATGAGGGAGGATGTGGACCCTCAGTCCTAAGAATCATTAAGGAGGATTCTACAAAGAGTACTTCAGAAACTAACAAAAATAATTGATTTCCTACAACTCAGTAAAGCAACAAGTGTCACTGTGTCACAGAAAACAAATGAGGAAAACTTCAAAAACAAAAAATAGCTTGATTCCCTTCTCTTTTTTTCTGGTGAAAATGTATTGTCTCAAAACCTTATAGAAATCATGTTCTCAATGTAAAAAGTTTTAAATAAAGTGTATTCAGAAAGAAATACCAAACAAGTCCCCACTCTACACAAGCTACTCAGAATATTATAAATTAATCATAAACTAAACCACTTCAATTAATGAATAATGATCATTCGAACAAGATTAGAAGAATATATGGAATACAAAGGAGTAAATCAATTATCTACATTTTATAAATGAGAGGAGACAGGAAGATATTTAAAATTCACAGAGAATAAAAAAAAAATAGAAATAATAAAATTGATCAGCGCGTTAGTTGAAGATGCAGATAGATGGAAAACTATCCACTGTAATATAGAAGTATTCATTAAGATGTACAATAACTTGTGGGGCAGTTATCAGGAAGTATTAGAGAAAAATCTTGTTCACAACTCTTAGCTCAGGTAGTAAAAGTTCATATATTTTACAGCTTGATCTTAATAATCTGGCTGCTAGTAATGAGGAGGACAGCTTGAGACATGACGCATTCAGAGGCAAAATAAAAAAGAGGGGGGGAGGGGGGGGGGTATTGGAGTATATTTGTTTGAAAAGGGTAAATTAACAGCAAGTGTGAAGGCATTGCTGCAGAAATCCATACTCTATTATTATTCTATGTAAATAATTTATTGATGTATGCCTTTCCCTAGTGCTTCTAAGAAGGTGCCCAGCAGTGTAAAGAAGATAGGAAATTTAGGGCAGGTTGACTTGCTGAGGCTTGTTGGCTTGTTGCTTCTCAAAACCCCAATTGCAATTCTTATTTTGATAAAATTCAAGTATTTATCGAAAGTGATATATATTGTATATATTAGCTCTGATTATTTAAGCAAAGTGACAAACTGGAAAAGTGGAAAGCAAGTTTTATAGCTAACTGATCCTTTGCGACTTAATGAGCACTTCATTAGTAGAGTTTCCCAATAAGATCAAGATTGCATGAATCTTCAACTCACACTTAGTCTCACCGAAAAATAAACATCCAGCCTAAGAGGGAAAAGAATGAGACGACCATACCTTACCTGAGAGGCCATTGGAGAAGGAGTATTGTAAAATGACAAGCTTGAAGATACATAATTCAGGGATTGACTGACAGCAACTGAAGATACATTTGCGCCTTGATAACTTCCAGAAGCATCCTTTGCGCTGTTACCATGGATACTTTTCAGCTGCCTAGGACTAGCATCTCCACAGCTCTTAGCAGAAACTTGATTTTGGTCCTCAGTGGAAATAACAAAACTCTGAGAAGTGAAAGCATGCTGCAGCTGTTTCTGTATGGTATGAGCAGCTGTATCTCCGAACACAGCAGATGCTTCTTCAGCAGAGCCTGAGAATAACAACAGTCACTTTCATTCAAGAGGAATAATACTGTTAATATTTATCACTGCACACCCCACGCACATCGGCGCATGTCAATCTACATTTACTATGCTTACACAACTACCAACAAGCAAGCATCTTACCTTCAATAATGCATCTCTTAACTACTTTTTTTTTTTTTTTTTGAGGGAAATCTCTTCACTACTTTACAATAATATACAAATTCAAAAACATTACTCCAAACATATCCTACAACAGCAACTAAAACTTCAATATAACACAGTAGCACAAATCTCCACTAAAGCTAAAGAATAAAACCATACAGGTAACTAAGAACTTGTTCTCTTCAACTTATTTCAGAATCTTATCACTTATTCTTCTCAAAATCAGTCAGACGCTTAGACCAGAAAATTTCAGATCAAATCAAACCAAAATATTAATAGTTTTATTTATCAATACGAATTACACAATATTATATATCTTGAGTTGCATATATAGGTAAAAATTATGAATATTACATAATTGGAGAGTACACATATTGACTTTTTGACTTTGTTTACTGTTCATATTCACATTCATAACTTCCTCCAATTTAATTTACTTTATTTCTAAAGAGTGGAAACAGGAAAGGTATGTGTAAGAACAATGGATATACCCAATATACAAAGTTCCTCATAAGCAGCCCAAAACAATGGATCAATGGACAACGCTTGTTTAAAGTGATGAACAGCACTCTTTCTTCGGTCAGTATACCTGAGAATGAACATTTCAAGCTATCAGATACTATAACCACAGATGCTTTAAATTAACAGTGACAGCTTGCAGACATTTATAAAATTACAAAATATTCAGAAATCAGTAGCTTACAATGAAAAAGAAATTATCTCCTTTTTTTTACTATCTTTTCCCAGTATTCACTAATTAGAATTTGAGGCCTTGATGATATACAAAACACAGATCACTAGTTGATTTCCCAGGATATAAAGTGTTGCCAAACAGTACACCAGAATGCATCACATAATATCAAGATAGAATGCCAAGAATCCAAATACGACCTAATGATAAATACCCCAAAGATACTACAGCAACAAAGCCTTAGTCCCAAAATGATAAATACCCCCAAAGATACTAACACCAGAAATTACATTTCCATGTCACTATCTGATGCGTATAGCACACTGCCTTTCTCCTTAACACAATCGACACAATGTCTATCAAGCATAAACCATTGTCATACGGAAAGTCAAGGACTTATCTAAAGTTATAAAAAGAGCTTGTCTTTTCTTATTTCTGTTTCTATTTTCCTGACATTCTGCATGTCCAGCAGTCTGAGATAAGACATCAATAAAAAATTGCAAAGACAAAAATTACTACTCAGATATTGGCACTACCTTACAAGGGCTCATAAAAGGTTTGCAGAAATTAGAATTCATTTACAATCACCAAGTAGTAAAGTTGGTTTCATCAGCTTTCACAAAAAAACAAAATTAATTTTTTAGCTCAAAATCGAAGAGTTTAGACATCACAATAGATTCTACATGTAAAATTTATTAGACCAACAAACTACATGGTATACCCAGCTACACAGCCCTGCACGAAAAGAAAGTACACTGAGTGGTGTAACTGATGTTAAAGACAGCGCATACAGGCCACATGTGTTACAATATAGGTACAACAAAAATACATTTTAATGCACCCAATTTTTGGTACTTGAGACATCCTTGAAGATAGATGCATAAAACATGGAAGGACAAAAAAGAAACCTGTAGATAAGTCCGAGAAGATAATGGCCAGCTGCATCATTCGGTACCTGCACCAAAAAAATTAGAAATCATATTACAAAATGTTCCAAATGCAGTGTTGTTTAGGTAATCAAGTAGGATTAAAGTGCCAGGACAAACAAGGGATTCAATGAAAGCAGTATGAAATACAAAGATAACAAAACAATCACAGCCTTACGATTTACAGTCACATAGTATCTTTGGAAGCAGAACGTAGACACTTAAAATGAAATAAAAGAGTAAAAAAAAACTCTTAATACTCTAGAGCACTAAAGCAATAATTACCTCTAGACCCGAATCATTAGCAGGGGACAATGCCTTTTCTGCTTCATTTAAAAGATCCATATGAAAGCATGAGAAGGCAAACAAGTAGCGGGATTGGGCCATTCGTTTTCCTTCACATAAACAAACAAAAAAATCAAAAGATTAGAAGAGTTATCATAGAAAGTAGTAACAAGATAACTGAAAACATCTTAAAGAAGGCAATGTAGAACTGCATAAAGCATAATCAATACTCAACTCAATAGTAGATTAGTAGAGAGTATATAAAACTTTCATCCACTTCTAGGTTTGGTCATAATCAAAAAAGTTTATACAGACCTTTCAATATATTATATGCCGCATAAGCTTGATTATTTCGCAAGTAACAATTAGCCAACAATTGCCAGTTCACCTACATCCAAGGGTGAGAAAATATCAAGATATGATAGAAACATATTAGAATAACACTTGCAGCAACTAGTAGCATTTTCTTAAGTGATACTAGATCACGTGATCTATTCTTATTACTTCAGTTTTGACAAATTGAGAAATTGAGTATAAAATTGCTGGAGCAGCACAGACAGATGAGAGTAAATCCACCCATCAATTATGCCCGCATAATAAAGTGCAAACAGATACAACACTAGCATTGGCATAATTCCATCAAACAGCAAGGAGGACTTCATCAAAAAGGAGGCCACCAACACCTTGATTGGACTTAAAAGAACAGATATTAATACCTCATAATCCTCAAACTTTGGTTAGCTTTGTAATGATTTCCGTCCAAGCTATTCTCAAATACCACTCTCTATTCCAACCCCATAGACCCAAACTAAAATCAATTGTGAGCAAGTGTACAACGCCTTTATGTTATATTTTCCCCAAAATGAAATATTCACTAATTGCATTGCCTATCACATTGTTCAGACCAAAATCTGATTCAATTTATCAAAGGGATTTTATCATGTCAATTTTCAAGTCCAAATTTCACCCAAGTTATTCTCCAGTGTCCTACTCTTTTATTTTAATTTTTTAGCAGTCTCCTAAACGCCAAACATTGACATAGCAAGGGCAGACCCCTAAGTTCAAAGCATTCCATATCCAACAAAGGTGTAAAGAACACAAAACTCACAATCACAAACCAAATGAAGTAATGATACAAGTTCTAGTGATATCGTCGCCTCTCCATGACTCATCTCAGCTAATCTTACCCCTCCCCCAACTCCCTGCCACTCCCACAAATAAAATCATCTATATTTTACGAGCTTCGCCGAAAATCACATCATAAGAAGACCAAAAGGACATTATGAATCACATACCTCAGTAGGGAACTCAGCACAAAGACGTTCACAGATGAAAATGGCATTAGAATACATAAAATGCCGCAAACTATTCTGAACAGAATCAACAAGTATAGCTTCCATAGCTCCTCTGCTAAACAAAGGGAAAAGAAAAAACTCAGATTTTTTTTTCTTTACTTCCAAATTCACTATAAATTCAAACAAAAATCAACAAACAACTCCAAGAAATTACAAGCAACATAAACAAGAACCCAGAAATTATAAAAGGATATAAATTGCAAAAAATTAAAAGAAATTCTAAAAGAACCCCAGAAAAATTGAATCATACCACGCAAAAATTAGCAAAACTACTTGTCAAAATTCCTAAAAATTTGATGTCGCGAAAGAAGCGAGGAATTCGCAGTAATGAGAGGGATAAGAAGGTCAACAATGGAGGAGAGAGAAAGAGGCGGCGAAGAAAAGGGTGGAGAATTGGGGAATGAAAGCGGGAGGAGAGAGAAAATGGAAGGAGCTTAGCTTAGGGTTTGAGGGTTGCAGACATGGTGGAGCTTGTGTTGGTGAGAGAGAAGAGAAAGATGTTGATTTGAATTTTGAATAATAGTCCTGTTTGTTACTGCTCGTTTTTTTAAATTTAATCACTACTCGTAACAAGTTTGCAAGTCTAGGGGGGCCGGAGAAAAATACTACTCCATACTATAGGTTTGAGAGAAACTTGTATTTTCTCAAAAGGGCATGAGCGTCATTTTACATGAAAAAAATGGGGTGTTTTTGTAAACGTTGAATTGCATTGTTTGATGGCGTTAACTCAATGGTATTAACTCTATTGAAGTATAAAGCTACCCAAATCCCTCCAAGTTCGAGCTTACCTAAATCAATGGAAAAGGGAACTAACAAGCAAACGACAAAACACCTATCCTTTGGGGTTCACCATACCATTAATTTATATATTTTTCTTTAGGTTTTTTTCTTTAAAATTGGCGACGAAGCCGCCAAAAATGGTGTTGTTGGGATTGGGGGTTTTGTTTTGGTGTTGGTATTGGTGAGGATGATGTTTGTTGTGGTGTTTAGCGAAATCCACCATGATTGTTTGTTGAGGAAGGAAGAAGAAGGAAGGGAGGAAGGAGACGACAAGCTCACAGAGTTGAATAACTGTGCATGAATTACATCTACTTTCTCACATACAGTCAGCAAAGGGGTCCACTGTAATGTCTAAATAATTGCAGAATTGCCATTTGAGAAACAGACACCGTTTCTCAATTCAGAAACTAGGGATTCCTCTTATATGTTTATCTTCACGATAAACAAAATTTGTTTACACCGTGTTTTAGGGTATAATCATATAATATAAACGTCATTTGTTTTTTGGTAATTCAGCTGATTCGCCCTTTGGCTAATTCTGATTCGATGATCAATTTTGGGTGGTAAGGTTCGACCTATGACGCCTTTGTTGAATTAGCCGAGATGTGATTGGAATTCGTCTTTGTATCATCGAGACACCCAAACGGCCGCCCCGACAGATTAGCATTAGAGCTGAAGGATACTTTCTTTCTGGTTGGACTGAGTAGATCTCCAGTCCCTTCCTAATTGTTGTTGCGGGAGATCGAACATGCATTTCTCTCTACAAAGTGCAGTCCCAATCACCACTGCACCAACAACCAATTGGTATTTATTTATGTATTTAAATATTGGTAACTTTGTAAATTAAACAATAAGAGAAGTTAACAGAAGCTTCACTACGTTAATGGAAAATAGACAATTTGAAGAGGTTCAATGGAGATTTCGGAAACTTCAATGGAGAATTGAAACTCAAGGACAGCTTCAATTCAATGGATGAGGACAACACCCTTAATCTTTGGGTCGGGGTTAACTATACATTTTGTTTGTCCTTTTTTCTTAGGATTTTAGTTTTAATTTGGCGAAAATGATGGTAAACATGTATGTAAAGACGAAGAAGATGAAGATGTCGATGTTGTTGGAACTCGGAAATAATGGAGGAAATGGTGGTGTCGGCGAGGGATCGAGGGAGAAGATCGAATGAAGAAGGAGAAAGGAGCAACTTGCAAATTATCGACATTTGACAACTTGAAAAGTACAAAATAAAAGAAAATTAATATTGTTGCTAAAATTCACCTTTCAACTACTTGAAAAACGAAACTCGTTGATCTAAAAGATCAATAATGGGGGCACGCCCAAATCTACAATATGATTGTTACTCCTTAGTCTTTACAAGTATAGTTGACTGAATTGAAAAAAAAAAATTGGTAAGACTTGTCTCACTTAGACTATAAATAATGGTATTCCCTTTCTCCCAGAGATACAGTCAACATTTGTTCACATGCCAATGCACTAATTTGATATTATTTTTATATAATTTAATATTAATAAAAACTATAATAAATGTTATATTTTGAAAATTTATATTAATACTACCTATCTCGCAACATATTTTATGACAACATATGTTTTTATAATGTTTGTAAAAAAAATTAAAGTCAAAGTTAATAGATGAATAGTGAAAAAAGTCCAACGTCTCAATTATTCTGGGATAAAGGGAGTACTTCGTATGAGTCTATGACGACTCCACTCTATTAGGTATTCGTACTAAGGTTCTTCATTTTTGTAAAGAGTAATGCACTTAGAGTCAAAACAAGAACCTTCTAGGAATCGTAGGTTTTGAAGGATGAGAGGTTTCGATTCTGGGTAATAAAATTGATAACATGTTGCAACAGGTTTAGGTTCAAGTCTCAATTTTTTGGAACCGGAATCTATAGGGCACCTTGTTAGATTGTCAATATAGGTTCTAACACTTATATACCCGAACCTGAATCGAAACGCGATAAAAGATATTGCTTAAGCCAACTCATACAATAATTTCAAGCCAAATAAAAAGAGAGAAACTGGACATTAATGTCGGTCTAGACATTTTATGGGCCTACAAGAAATAATAAATAAAGCCCTTAATTTATTTTTTTTGGTTGGTAAGGAAAAGGGCCCCCTACCGGGTCAGAACCTCTCGTAGGTCCTCTCGGCCCGGGTTAGGCACTTTGGAAGTGGGGGGGGGGGGAGGAAGGGTAAGGAATCCCCACCTTCAAAGTGCCTCTAGTGGGTTTTAATCCCACAACCTCATGGTTATGAGATGCAAACCTTATCACTACATCAAGCTATACTTGGTAATAAAAGCCCCTAATTACAAAATACTTCGTATGATTTAATATATTTCATATATCATTCTCCGTATTAAAATTGAAGTGAAAAGGAAATCAGCAAACAAAAGCAACAGGTAAACCAACATATTGTACATATCCTCTATCAAATAATATATATCCTCCAACAAACTTTACGTACCTCTATTAAGTAACACATATCCTCCAACAAGTTGTACATATCTCCTATCAAATACTACATATTCTCCATCAAATACTACATATCCTTTGATAAACTGTACGTATTCTCTATCAACTAATACATATCCTCCACCAAATACTGCATCATATCCTCTAACAAACTGTACGTATCCTCTATCAAAGATAAATTGTACATGTCCTCTATCAAATATTACATGTCCTCTATCAAATACTACATATCCTATAACATACAATATATATCCTACAACAAACTATACGTATCCTCTATCAAATAACACATATCCTCCAACAAGTTGTACAAATCCTCTATCAAATACTACATATCCTATATCAAATACTACATATCATATATACTTGACCCACGAATTGTTTGGTGCGGCTAATACCTTTTTTTTTTTTTTTTTTAGTTGCAACACTTCTCTTTTCACGCTTGCCGATGCATGATTTCAATCGTTAATATTTTTAATTGCCAATGTGTAAAAATTATAAACATTTGATATTAAAATAGTATAAATCGAGACGAATCTAATAAGATCTCACATGACTATATTTTTGCTTATGTGTAAATCATCAAAGCTAGTCAAAGTAAACCACATAAATAGTATAAATGTCAAACTGTTGCAACTATAAAAAAAAAACGGAGGAAGTGTATTATATCCCCAGAAAATTTTTAAAAGCTGATGTATACCCGATTAAAAAGCTAATTTGTTCTTTAATGAGCATTTTACGAATATCAATATTTTTAATTAAAACTAATAAATTCTAATATATAAAAAAACAAATGTTATAATATTGTACATAATATATTGTTGGATTCGTTATAATGTTTACTTTCATAATATCAACTTTCCTATGATTTTTAATAACATATAATAAGATAAATTAATGATCAAAATCGTGTCTCGACATGCATTTTAATCAAACTATAACACTTATTTAAAAACGGAGTGCCTAAATGAAAAGGACTATTGGGCAACTTTGTAAGTAAATGAACTGTGTGTTTCACTGATAATTGTCCCTAATAAAAGGACTTTGGCGCCAGATCATCCCCCACTTCACTTCCATTTTTAGTTCTTCAATTGTTCATGATGGCCATTAACTCGGAAATTAGAAGCTTAATTTGGACATATTCTTAGCCTTTAACTATACGTATTCGGTTTTTTTTTTTAAAAAAAAAAACAAAAAAAAAAACTCTACATATTTGGTATAATGCAAGCTTATTTCTATCGGTATATACATTATATTTATATAAAGTTTCATAAAATAAAATTTTTATAATTTTTATTAATATTTAATTATATAATAAGGTCAAATTAGTGAATTAACATATGTGTAAAATTTAATTGTGTCAATTATTTTTGAGACTGAAAAAGTAATACATTACTCCGTACAAAATTTAGCAAATATTATGCACTAGGTTAGAACCCGTGCTGTGCACGGTTTATATAAAATCTATTTTTATAATTTGTAAATTTTTTAAAAACTAGATAAATATAAATAAGACTTATGCACATTGTACGAAAATATCTGTACTTTCAAAATTTTAGATTTTCATCAAAATTATGATATAATACCCGTTCAACGTCGCCTAATACGTATTTCAATGTGGGTTTCTATTTATTAGTGTGCTACTTAAAATTATTTCATTTTTTAAGGATAATTGATAGGTTGTAGTTGTAGTGTAGAAACTTCTAGTATTCAAATTTCAAAATTATTAAATATGATAGCTCCACAAAAAAAAACCCAAAAAAAAAAAAAAAAAAGATGACATCATCCTTGCATTTAGGCGGGAAAATTTTTACTATGAGAGTGACATGTGAACAGTGATGAAGTCAACAACATTTAGTTTTAGTAATAGTTAATAGATTTGTCGTTGGGTGTCTTGCTTTTATTATGGTAGTAAATGAGTTGTTGTTATCAATTATTTTTCAAGCATTGAGATTGAATAAGGAAATGAAAATTATCCAAGCAAGCATGTACAAGTAAAGCACAAACCCTATATATCCCCTAAAAAAAAAGATTGGCACCTACTCAAATATTTTTTTGTATTTTATTTTACGGGACAAAGAATAATTTCATAACATGTCAAATGCTAGGAATAAATCAACCTTAGACCTCAATTTACTTTAAACAAAAACAAAAAGTTACCATACTTCATACGAAATACTCCATATAAAATTTCCTTGGTTAACCAATTGACTGTTGATGCAGTGGTGATTGGAACTACACTTGGTAGGGAGCACCACATGTTCGATACCCCGTAACAACAATTGAGAGGAGATTAAAACCTAACCACCCATAACTGATCCCCGAATCCAGATTATCCTATAGGGTGAACCGGCCCAACTGGGTGGAACACAAAAAAAAATAAAATTACCTTGGTTAAAAAATAAAGAGCAAGACCAATTGACAAACCCTATATAGCAAGAGTTTAAAAACTAGTAGTTCAATTAACTACTTGAAATCTATAAGTTCTTGACAAGATCATAGGGTTCAAATCACCCTACACTTATTTGTAATTTATACTCGTATTGCCATAGCAATCTAGCAGATCATTCGACGAAAATACAGTTAACAACGGAGTAAAATCTATAGGAGTCAATTTGTAAGTCAATTCAATACGTTGGAAAAAGTGAGAAAGATCAACTCGAATTTATTTACTCTACTTTGAAGTATTAATTAAAGACCTTGGCAAAAATCCTGCTTAGGAAGACGAAAGAATGACTAGAAGACGACCAAATGCACCAATCAATGATCAAAAAGCATGCAAAAGGTCAATTTCCTCTTTTCCTGTACACAATTTTCCTTCTTCCTTAAGTTTATTTGTTCTTTGCTTTTAAATAACCCTTTTTTCTCTGTTTATTTTCTATGGTTTTTAATTTTAATGGTACATTTCTTTAAGTTGTTAAATAAACATAATTCTGAGATTTTGTTGTGTGTGAAATTTGCAAAGGAGGAAACAAAATTCTGGTACAATGGAGGTTGCAAAGCAACATATAGAAGAAATTAGAAAAAATACGTTCGAAATTGGTGTGAGAAAAAACCCTCTAAGGCAAATGTTACGAGAAGCTGTTAAGAATCTCTCTGCTGCTCTTTACTCTAAGGATGTCCATTTTTTAATGGAACTTATTCAGGTTTATTTCTTCTTACTTCTATTTTTTGTTAAAATTTATTACTTTAATGCATTTGTATTTGATGAGTACTCCAATTTGACCCTCCGTCGCTAAAAGTTCTTTCTGTTTGACGGTTATTATCTCACAAAAAAAATTGGAATAGGAATAGCTTTTAGAGACGGATGAAGTTATTTTTTGTAACTTTTATAATCGAGTTGAATTTTAGTTCTTAAACAAGATTGCAAGTGGTTCATATTGGTAGTTAACTTGAAATGAGACATTTCTTGTAAATTTACATTCTTTTTGGTAGCCATTCTATTGTGAACATTTGAAAAAGTGTATGACCCGACTACATTACTGTGATCATATGTTAGTTAGATATATTAGTATAATTTAGGGAGTACTTTATTATCTTCACATTTTTGCTATTCATTTTTCAGTGTTGAATTATAAGTGAATGGAGGAAGTATAATTTAGGGAGTACTCCTCTTATTCAATGTTTTGTCTCACCTATTAATGGCACACTAGGTTGGCTAAGACTTTGTTCTCTTTCGCCTGAAATAAGTTGATCTGCTCTTAATTTATAAAGATTTAGTCCGTTGGTATACTATGACAATTTATAAGAAAATGTATCATGTGAGATCTTGTCATGTTCGTCTTAATGTGTATATATCAATGTCTAATATATTTAATTTTTACTAGTATGTAAATATTGATGGTCTATGAGGATTTGGTTTGAATTTTTCTTGTTTTGCTTGATTATAACAAGAATAAACGATTAATTTCTAATACTCTTGCAAAATTAAGAGAACTTAACCTAAGACGGGCTTGAGTGGTTAAATGTGAATTAAAGATTGAAAGTGAGTCAAGAGAGTAAACTAGTGATAGAAAGATTAGTTATTGCGAAAGTACATGATTGATATGAAATACTAGCACTTCTGAGTAAAAAATGCAGCATTTTTTTTTTCCTTATATATGCAGCTGGAGTTTGATGATATTCTTGTATCAGCTTGTTTTATGTTCTGGTTTTCTTAGTTTACTTTGTTTGCTTTTGTTATGGACGACTTGGTGCAATTATTAGTCTGTGAAGTTGAGTGAAATAATCATAGTAGATTAGCTTAGATTACATTATAGTTACTAGATTTAGCATAAGTAGTGCGAAGTTGGGACTTTTGGGGATTTTAAAAATACTGTTAACTCTTGTATAGTTGCTAAGAATTGAGTATATAATCTTGAATAGGATCTTAAAGCTTCTTAGAGTTCTTTCATATGTAGGAATGAAAAAGTTTTGTGCAAGAACCAAGAAAGCTAGCTAATTTTCTGTCATTGCTTAGAGTTTTTAATTGTAATGAATAGGTGCCAATATGTTGCAATGTGGCATCGAAACAACTGTGCATTATAATGTATATACTTGTACAAATTAAAGGTCTTGGTTTTAGAGAGTGGGTTATTACTGCTTTATTTATCTTGATCCTGGCTTTTGCTTCTGAAACTTGTAATATTATGTTTATGTTGGGAATCTTGGGATGGTAAATGTTACATTACCTAAACAATGCTATAAAGTTTTTTTTTTTTCTCTGATTTGATTACATTATAATGGTTCTTATAACTTCTAAATTACAATTGATTTTTACCTCTATGCATGCATAAAAGGAGCTTGTTTGCTAATCCGTAGATGTTCTAGGATTAAAAGTATATAACCTGTGTTTGTACATATTACGATTAGCCAAGATTTAGTGTATGTAATTGACATACATTAGAGCATTTGACAAATGTCTTAGCTGCATTATGTATTGTTGTTGTATTAGTATCTTGTCAATTTGGATACGATGAGCACTTTGGAGCTAAAGCTTGAACTTTAGCTTAACTGATGTCTGATGTAACTGAACCCTATTATCTTATGAGCACTTATTTGATAACATCGAAAGAGGATATTTACCAAGAGTATTTTGTTATGCAGAATGCTGAAGATAATGAGTATCCACCAGGAGTTGATCCAACCTTGGAGTTCTTGATAACTTCTCGGGATATAACAGCCACAGGAGCTCCTGCTACATTGTTGATTTTCAATAATGAGAAGGGATTTTCTAAGGGAAATATGGAATCCATTTGCAGTGTCGGTACTTCTACCAAGGCTGGCAAACGTAAAAGCGGTTATATTGGAGAAAAAGGTTCGTCTATTCAAACTTGTAGATTGTAATGTGCCCCCATTATATTTTGGATAATTCTCAATCATTCTGGCTATGAATGTCAAATGTGGCTGTGATTGCATAAATTTTTTTTATTTGTTTAACGTGAATTTTTATTCAATCAATCAATCAGTCAAAGCCTTAATCCCATAGTCACCTGTTTAACGTGAATTTTTCATTGTAGCCTCAAAATATATTTTTTCTCAATGGAGACTACTCTGCATGCTATTGAACAATATATTTTCTTTTTAAAACTAAAGCAAGCTAATACCTTACTTGTTAGGAAATTAGTAACTACTGTTTGAATGTGTTTTATTTTTGTTATCTTGAGATCAACCCTTAAACTGTATGCGGAACATAGCATTTATAATAGGAAATTCATGTATGAAAGACCCTTTTATGTTAAACATGTTACAAAAAAGCATTCACAATCTATCAACTGTTAAATTTTTTGTAAAGGGATCAAGGGAGTGATAATAATATTCGGTTCAGAGGTGTAGTCAGATACAGTTCATGTGATGTACACTGTAGCTGCAGTTTCTATCAGCCCAATGATATTGAAATATAAACTCGTAAGCGTCATAGTTCAATCCCACACCCCAAAGGTAGATAGTAACTTAAGTGCGGAGGGTTAAGCTTAGCTCAACTGTGAAAACACCATCATTTTCACGGTCTACAACATCCGAGTATTCCATAATTTAGTTGATTTCAGTGAGCATCAGAAATAAAATTTGAGCTTTAACTCATAAATATGGTTTGAAGTCATATTTTTCTTGTATAAATCAAGATAATGTCTGCATCAAGTGCCTCCAAATAAATAAGCCACTAATAGCCCTTTTGGTGTACATGACTATAATTGCTATGAGCTCATATATAACTTTGTAATATGTCCCACGGAAAAGTCCATGGTAATGCTTTTCCTCCTCAAAGTATGTGATTTTCTTTTAGTTTCCATTACCGCTCAATGCCACCTCTAAATGGCAAATGATTGATGATGCAAATTTACGAAGAGAAGCACATACTCTGGAATACAATTGCATCAACATGAACATTAGCATAGGAAAAACCTTGCAGTTTTCTTTTTTACAAAGTCATTATTTTTGCCATTATTTCTTAAAGCTTACGCTTACCAAACACTATTCCTGCTCGGATTGAAACAATTACAAGTAAAACGCAATTAGGCTACTGTAAATGGTTTTTTTTTTTTTTTTTTTTTTTTTTTGTAGATTTCTGTTGAGCAATCACAGAGTATTGATACAGAAATAGTGTATACTGTCAAGGCCTTTTTTCTAATTTTGTATAGCTTACTGTAACTATGTATCTACAAAATAGTTGAGAATATTAGCCTTTTATTCGTATTTGTTCAACCTTTTTGCCACATTAATATCAGAAGCTAAACAAATTGGACTATGTTTGAATATCCTTTACATCATTATCAAGGCCCCTATCATTAATGAAATCGATTTTGTGGTTTTTTGTCACAGGCATTGGGTTCAAGAGCGTGTTTCTATTAACAGCTCATCCCTATATTTTCAGTAACGGCTATCAAATCCGTTTCAGTGAAGCACCATGTCCTCAATGTGATGTAGCCTACATAGTACCTGAATGGGTTGAATATCCCTCTGTCGCTGATATCCAGCAAGTGTATGGCTGTAATAGAGTCCTTCCAACTACTACACTGATATTGCCTTTGAAGGGTGATAAAGTGAAAGCTGTGAAGGAGCAGCTTTCAAGTCTCCATCCCGAGTTACTCTTGTTTCTCTCAAAAATCAAGCGTCTTTCAGTGAAAGAGCACAGTGAGGATCCAAAACTTAACACCATACGAGCTGTTTCCATTTCTACAGAAAGGGACTTGAAGTCAAAGAAGGATATTGATGCTGAGTCATATACAGTTCATTTGATGGCAGAAGAAGAAGGTAGTCCTGGCAGCGAAGGTGAATGTGGCTACTATATGTGGAGGCAGAAGTTTCGTGTCAAGGATGAAAACAAGGTTGAAAAGAGGAAGGAACTCGAGGAGTGGTCTATTACATTAGCCTTTCCATTTGGCGAGCGTCTGAATAGAGGAATGATCTCTCCTGGAATCTATGCATATCTTCCCACTGAGACAGTTACAAATTTGCCTTTCATAATTCAGGCAGATTTCCTTCTCCCATCATCTCGAGAAACTATTTTGTGGGATGATATATGGAACCAAGGGATTCTTGACTGCATTCCTGCTGCTTTTGTCAATGCATTTGTTTCTCTTGTCAAGACGAGGGAAGATGCGCCTACCTCTTCTCTGGCATCCATGTTTGCTTTCTTGCCAGTTAAAGACGCGTGTCACCCAAAGTTAGATGCAATCAGGAATTCAATCAAAGAGAGACTGCTTCTGGAAAATATTATTCCATCTGAGTCTCATTGTTTACAAAATTTTTTCCATAAACCTCAAGAAGTTGCCCGGTTAAACCAATCTTTCTGGAAGATATTGTTGAAGGCAAAGCAAAAAGGGATGAAATTGCACAATCTTTCATCTCTAGGAAAGCATATATTGCATTCTTCTTTCGATTTAGACAGGTACAACGATGCACTTAGCTTCCTTGGTGTGAAGCGCGTTGACACAGAGTGGTACCCAAAGTGCATCCAGAGTTGTAATCTTGTCATGGGAGTTGGGGAAGAGATCTATGTTGAGTTGCTTCAATTTCTTGCGCAGTATTGGTCGAGTTTTGCTACGACTAATATGCGAAGTATACCCCTACTGAAGTATGTAGGTGATTCTAGGGATGTATCTCTTCTTAGCATAAATGAAGCTACTCAGACAAGTGGTCTACGTTTGTGTCGATCACAGGATGCAAAACATATTTCATGGATGATAGACTGGAGCAAAGAATTCAGATCTGCTGCAGGACTAGTTTTCTTACCTGAGAAAACGCAAACGGCCATCTTAGGAGTGAAAGATGTACTTACCTGGTTGAATGACTATGTGAAAGTTAATACTTTTCGCATGGATGAATTTGCAAAAGAGCTTCACTACTCATTAGTCGGAAACAACTGCAGAATGGTGTTTGTTTTTGCACATTTTCTACATCACACATCTTCCAATGGATTTTTGGATGAGCTGCAGTTACGACATTTAAGTGATTCAATGCCACTAGTGAACAATTTTAGAGGTGTATCTGTGAGAAGAAAGGGTGTACTTGTTCCTGCCAATGGGAGCAAATGGGTGAATCTGATAGGTGGTTCCAATTCTTGGAGGGATCAAGATTATGTGGTACTATCTGATGAATATTTGCATTCTGCGCGATATGCTGGTTATTTTACTCCGGAAAAGAAACTGATGGAGCTCCTCAAAAGATATGCCGGTGCCTCTGATATTCCTGACGCATGTCCTCCAGATGCTGCCTTCCCTACTGTAAATGGGCCATTGAACAAAGAAAATGTTTTCTTGATGTTGGACTGGATTAAGAAGATAAGATATAAGGGAATCAGAATGCCTGATAATTTTCTGAATTGCATCAAGAATGGAAGCTGGTTGAGGGTAACAATGAGCGGTCATCCTGTTTACAAACCTCCTAATCAATCATTTTTTTCGAGTTCATCATGGGGGAGTCTGCTGCAGAATGGCTCCGAAATGGTTGATATTCCCTTGGTTGATCAGCAATTCTATAACTATAAATTGAATGAGTATCAAGAGGAGCTAAAAGCAATTGGGGTGATGTTTGATTATGGTCAAGCATGTAAATTCATCGGGAATCATCTCATGGCTCTGGCTGCTTGTTCTAATCTGACTAGAACCAAGGTTATTGCGCTGCTTAAATTTATACAATATCTGAGAGAGAAAATGTTGTCGGTGGATGAGATTGTCAACGCCATAAAAAATGTGAGATGGGTAAAGACCTCATGTGGTGAAAGGTCCCCGGTTGAAACTGTTCTCTTCGATAAAAGCTGGACATCTGCTTCGGTATTCAGTCAGATTACCTTTCTTGACGAAGAGTATTATGGGTGCAGTATTCACGAATACAAGGCTGAGCTTGAACTACTTGGTATTACTGTGGGTTTCAAGGGAAAGCATCAGATTGTGCTTAACCATCTTAAATCTTCAGTAAGCTGGAGCACTCTAATGCCTGCCAATCTCATTTTTGCTCTCAAGTGCATCAAAAAGTGTCCTCATGCATCAGAAAAACTTGTGACTACAATGAAAGATTCTGCATGCTTGCGCACAAGTGTCGGCTTCAAGTATCCCCGTGAATGTTACTTGTTTGATCTTAAATGGGGATGTATCTTACAGATATTTGAGGGTTTCCCATACATTGACAGCAGCTTATATGGGGACAAAATATTCAAGTACAAAGAAGCATTGCAGAAAATTGGAGTGGTGGTTGATTTTGATGGTGCAACTAAGGCGTTTTCTGTAGAGTTTAAGCAACTAGCAACAATTCAACAGATTACTGCAGATAATATTCTCAAATTCCTTTCGTGTTATAAAAAGTTGAAGTTTACACAGTTCACCCTTAATGCTGATCTCAGTGCATGTATTCAAGATTCTAAATGGTTAAGAACTCGCCTTGGTGACCACAGGTCACCCAAGGATTGCATTTTGTATGATTCAGATTGGCATCCAATCTCTGGGATTACGCTGCTTCCTTTTATTGATGACAGGGAGAGCTGCTATGGAGAAGGCATACACGAATTCAGAGATGAGCTGAAGAGCATGGGTGTAGTGACTGATTTCAAGGAAGGCTTACAATTTGTTTTCTCTCATTTCTTTTTACCTCAAAATCCAAGTGAAATTACTCCTGCATGTGTCTTGTCATTGCTCGAATGCATTAAAAACTTCCTGAAACCCCTGCCAAAGGATTTTTTGAATCAGATTTACCAGACCAAGTGGTTGAAGACCACTAATGGTTATATGTCCTCAATTGAGTGCATGCTATTTGATCCGAAGAAAAAGTCTTCATTGCAGCGATGTGATGGTCCTTTCATTGATGAAGAGTACTATGGGGCAAATATTTTGTCTTATAAAAGCGAGCTTGCAGAAATTGGAGTTATAATTGATCTGTCTAGCAATGTTGCAAACTCACTACTTGCATATCACAGCAAGTCCCTTCATGAGTTTGCTAAGATTGAGCGTATCTATGAATTCCTGAGTGAAGCTGACTGGAAGCCTGAAAAAGGCGCTCCTGTGCAAATTTGGATCCCGACAAGCTCTGATGACGGTGTGTGGGTTGCTCCGGAGGAATGTGTTCTGCATGATGATAACCATCTGTTCAGCTCTAGGTTGCATGTTCTGGATCAGAAGAATTATAAGCCAAAGCTGTTTACTTTCTTCTGTAAAGCCTTTAATGTCAAAAGCAGGCCCTCAACTGATGATTACTGTAAGCTTTGGATGGAATGGGAAAATTCGAGGCGTGTGATATCATATGATGAGTGTTGTGCCTTTTGGGTCCATGTTATTAGGCACTGGAACAAAGATACCAAGAAAGTATTTTCTGAAAGTGTGTCTAAAATCCCTGCAGATTCCTGTGGCTCGGGTGATATTCTGTTGCTTAATAAGCAGGACATTTTCCTCCCTAATGATCTCTTATTGAAAGATCTTTTTGAAATGTCTTCTCCATACTCTTTCTTTGTCTGGTGTCCTGCAAGAAACCATCCCTCGATTCCTCAAGCTTTACTTTTTGATACATACTCCAAGGTCGGAGTAAGGAAGATATCAGATTCTGTTAAAATATCAGAGTTGTCTGCTGTGGATCATGGAGAACTGACGGAGGCGGAATTGAAGGATGCTTTTATTGTGAAGGGGCTGGTAATGATCATTTTAGGATTTCTCTCTGACCCCTCACTGAATCTAGACACAAAACGGAGGCATGAAGCTGTTAAAAAGCTCCTCAATGTCAAAGTCTTTGTGACTCCAAACCCTATTACTAGAACCTACAGCTTAATGATGAGTTCAGGTAGTGATGTCACAGCTAGCATGCGTCAAATGGTGCGCTGGGAGAGAGATACTTCTGAGTTTTTCGCCCAGAAACTCGACAGATCAGGTGCAGGTGCACGTAAGGCTGTTGTAGAATATGCAATAACGTTCTCTCAAGTGGTATCTGAAGGGTTGCTTTGGGATAAGGAGGATAAGATTCATCCACTTTCCGAGCTCATAAAGTTTGGATTCTTGATGGACTTTGATGAGGATGCTGTTACTTATTTCATGAAGTCGAAAAATTTGCAGATCTTTCCTGAGGATGAAGAGTTCATATCCTCTGCCTTCCCTTCTCTGATACAGTATCGTAGGTAATATGTTTCCCTTTAGTTATTTAATACTAAATCTGTTTTTATATTATTACTTGTATTACTACTTTGTTAGTTGGTGAGTTTCTGTGCTGCCGTTGCTCTTGATTTTCTGCTAGCATCAGTACTATTAACTTTTTTTGTTAATTTATCTAATACTTGTAGAACTTTCGATCTGCAGTGTTTTTCATAGAAGGGTATAAAAATGATTAATCAAACAGGATCAGAACATCAGATATTAATCCTGTAAATTTAAATACATTATATACGCTTTTCATCTCATATTGCTACCCGTGAAGTCATCTTTGTTTTCGTTACATGTTTTCTAGCAATTGGCTGACATTTGGTTTTAGATTGTTATTAAGGGTTTGTTCTCTTCAACGGCATGCCATCTTTTGATGGAATGATGGACTGCCTGTCAAACTCTTTCATAGGAATCATGTACTAATTGGTCTTACTTGAACTTAAATATCCGTAAATTTAATTATTAAGGTGAAATAAAAATGTATCTGTTTCCAAGATATTTTGAGCTTCATCTGTTCATCACTATTTGCTAAATAAATCCACTGCATGTCAGAGCGATTATTTATGTTTCTATTTCCCCCTTCAAGGCTGCAATGGCAGCTTACTAACATAGTGTAATGCACCAAGCCAGACCACCCATTGTGCACACCTACAGCAGGAGGGGACAACAGCAGAGGGGTGTTCACAACACACAACAGCAGCTAGCAACAGAGTAGTAAGGCTGCAGGGCATCCTTGTCTTGTATTAGCTTTATTTTGGCAGCTTATGGAAGAGGACAAAGTAGTTGTTGTAGCAATTAAGGCTTATGACACATAGATTAGTAGAGTATGTTAAATAGCAAGAAGGAAGTAGTGAGAATTCATTTAGAAATTTGTATTGGCATATTGGATAGTGATGGCCTAAAGCCATTAGTTTGTAACCTTGAAAGCCTTTGGCTATTATCAATCAACCTTCCAACTGCCTTCTTCCGTTCTTTCTCTATTTTCTTATCTTAATTCCTGACTTGAGCATGTGCAACGGACTGCGTGTTAGCAATGGACACATAGTAACATTCAACATTCCAACGGTCTGGGTTGGTGCACATAGACACATAGTAACATTCAACATTGTTAGCTTCTACAGTTTTTTTGTCATCAATTGCTCTTTTTTCTGGATTACAATGTTTTCCTCGAAAGGGAACAACATACTGATATTTGGTAATCTGTGTTTGATGTACTCAGAAGATCAGGTGTAAATCAACGAGTATGAAGATTGCTGATTCTGCTGTGAACATCAGGTGTACTTATTAGAGGATGGAACTTAAAGCTGCCTTAGTTTTCTTATGTTCTCTACCTGTCTATTACATTACTTTGGTTCTTCGTGAAAAGGCAAACGTCTTTCAAGTAATTCTTTCACATTTTACAAATTAGAGGTTGTAGATTTTAGTGCCTTTGTGCAATTGAATCTGATTAACTTTGTGACTTGCCTTTCAGGAACTTCCGTGAGGGTGAATATATCATGCTGAACCTGAGTTCGACAGTCAGTCCATTAAGATCATCGGAGTGTTCTTTGTTAGCGTTATCATCATGTCATGTGTGCAAATGTCCTAGTAAAGTTTCTAAGAACAGAGCTGTTATACAATATCAAGCTGATGTTTTTCTGGGCCAGCTGATTTCCTTTGCTGTTTAAGTTGTAAAATAGTAGAAGTAATGAAACTTCATGGCAGCTTTGTCGTCTTGCTGAGTTCAAATGCTTAAAAACTTTATTTTTGAAAATAATAAATGTTTAATATTTACATATTTAATTTTGGTAACATGAAATTTGGAGTCATAGTTGATAACCAAATTTGTATATCATCAGTGCTGACTCTGCTGAGTATACTTGGGGAGTCGGCGTAAGGTGAAACCGTGAAAGGCTTACAACGACTGTTATTGTATCCTACTTGTTTGATCGAGGGGCAATACTAGACAGCATGTTGGGCTTACTGCAGAAGTACTCCGATGATAAGGTTGGCTGAGCAACAAAACTTCTAGCCATTTAATTAGTGCAAGTGGTCAATCTTGACTCTTATTTCCTCCTCTACTCTCCCCTACCTTCAACTTCCATGGATCCATCATGATTCATGAAGTAAGCCCGACATCCTGTCTAGTACCATCACCGAAAGAATAGAAGCAGCGAAAAACTGAGAAAGCAACACAAAATAAGACAGTCGAACAGACAAGGTATGGGAAATAGCCATGGTATGGGAATGATGTATTAGAATTCATTCTGAAAGATGTTCATAGTAGTAGTGTAAACACTCCTAAACACACCCAGCAGAACCTTTCTCCGCCATTTTCATCTTCCTTCGCCATTCACCATTTTCATCTTCAGACCCATTTTATCTTCGGATATTCGTTACTCTTCAATTTTCTTGCTAATTATCCAAACCTTGTTCATTCGAGTTTTAGTCTTCTCCAAAAGCCTAACCCTTAATCACACGCACCCTAGCTCACACTTGCTCTTGCTCCACCGTCTAGGGTCACATGGCTTGCCGGAAACACCAGGAGTCGCCTCCTATTGCGCCTCTAGCCGGCAATAACAGCCGCCAACCACTGCCAACAAGACCAGACGAAAAACCCTGACCGACCCCATTAATGGTTGACCGCTACTAAGCTAGGTATATCATATTTCTTTTGATTGTTTTATGCAAATATTAGTTTGAATATGCTTTGTGTAATTGTGTTTATTGTTTGCTATATTGTCAAATTCTATATAGTAATAAGGTGTTGTTTACATTGGAATCCCTATTTCAATTATACTTTTATTATTTCGTTAATAAGTATTTTTGCATTAGTTTGTTTAATTTCAATAGCTTCATTTACGATATGATATATGAGTAGTAGTAGTTCTTAGGATTTTGATTTTACCACGAAAGTAGCAGTAGAGCTTTATCTGCACATATGGTAAGGATTATGTCCTTCCTAATCGGAAACTGAAATCTAGCATAATGATCAGAAATTGAAGTTCGGAACTGAAGATCAGAACTGATGAATTTCAGAACCGAAGATCAGACCTGAACATCAAAACTTATATATTTGCACATATGGTTATGTGAGATCAAAATTCAATGATATTTATACATGTGAGATAGTGTTATAAGTTTATAGAACGTTTTTCCAATTTGAGCTCTAAACGTAAACTAATGACAAAAATGGTTGCGTGGCAAAACTATTTACCAAACTAAGCTTCCAGGGTAAATCGCTGTCTCGGACAGCGTTTTACCCCTGGTTTTTTTTTTAAAAAAAATTCAACTACAACTATTTTATATGTTCAACATAAAGCGCTGTCTCAGACAGCGCTTTATGCTTGAACATAAAACGCTGTCTCAGACAGCGCTTTATGCTTGAACATAAAGCGCTGTCTCAGACAGCGCTTTTCTGCTGGAAACAGCAACCAGCATCCAGGCAGAAAACAAGCTTCAGCAAACAGCTTGCATGCTGCAGTCCTCCAACAGCCACCACAACAGCCAGCTCCACAGCCCTACCCCACCACCGTCGACCACCAACTCCGCCACTCCCCACCACGTACCACCACCATATTCTGGGAGTTCCGTCAACTTTAAGCACTGCAAAAAACTCGAAACAGCCCAACAACAGTCCAACCACCAAATTAACTTCAAAGCACACACGGAGTCATTCAAAAAAGATTTATTATATTAATTTCATAAGTGTTATGTACATCATTACACAAAATAACAGGGAATACAACAGATAATACTAGCCCGACTCATTTATTCGGGGTAAAGGTCCTGCCTCCTGAGTGTCGGCCCTCCGTCTGACACGTCGCCGCCTGTAATGAGTGACGGTGGTGAATGGGTCTCGGGGCGGTGGGGGAGTCAGCTGACTGGACGAGGGGTCCTCCTGGGTACCAGAGGGCGCAGTACTGTGGATGTTGTAATCCTCTGCGTGTCTGGGTGACGTAGGATCACATCCACCGCTGCTCTGGCCGAGATCGAACTGTGAGTTGCCATCATGACCGCCCCGCCGGTGGGCGAGATGAGCGTGACCATATCTCCGTAAGGTAGCGACGCCCATATCTCGCACCTGCTCGACCTGGGCTCTAGTGGGTCCGCACTCAAGGGAGACTGATAGCGCATCAACCATCGCCACCATATCCGCCGCCTGCAGTAATCATCGATCAGTCAGATCTATGGCATACAAATATGGAAATTGTTGAAAAGGAGTAGAAAAATAATAACTCACATATCCGCTAATGATGTCATATGCTGGATGGTAATGTGTGGATGGTGGTGCGTAGCTGGGGTTGATGAAGCGTCGTGTGATACGCCTGTACCACACCATGTACGGATCGTCGGGATCCATAGCCCCCTGCATTAGATCACCTCCAACGATGAACTCCAACCGTTGCTCCCATAGCTGAAGGAAACGCCAATGCTCCAGCGCCCAGCTGGTCTCCCCCTTTCCCCGACGATCAATGCCGTGAAGCTGTACACTAGTGTCACACCCCTGTGGGATAGTCTGGCGTAGTCCAAACTGCCTCATGACTCGGTCGGGCAGGTGACTCTCCACAACCTCGAAACAGATCAGGGGGACCCTAGCACGCCACTCCGCCTGATGGTCTAGCAGATGTGGAGGCATGGCATCTACCAAGTCAGGTACATACGGGTCCCATGTCACCTGTAAATACACATCAACAGTAATATTATGGATATGTTAGTTCGCAACAAGTACAATGTTAAAACAAAAAAGCTAAAACTGTATTTTAAATTGTTACCTGGTCCTCGGTGAGTCGGTCTAGGGCGTCTCGGTAATACGGAAGACCCCTCGCCGCATGAGCATGTGTCAGCCTGGGTACCACCCACATAATATCGAACAATGTTTCAGTTAACAACCCCGCGCATTAAATAAAGCCTAACTCAATGAAAGTTGTATCGAACCTGCAACCATATGCCTCATCCGGTGTAGGGAGCGGGGGAGCATCGTACGCCTGGTACTGGTCGTCCTGGTCCTGCTCCCCCCGACGGTGTATCGCAGGTCTGCCTGGTCTGCCTACATGGATATGCTCCCAAGCCCAGAACTGGCACACAGAGACACAAAACTAGCTTCAGTATGAAATATGTAAGTGCGTGGTGAAATAGTTTTTTTGGTACAGAAATAAGTGAGGTACCTGGAGGACAATCAGGGGACCTCCAATCTCGTTAGCACCTACGTGGGATGCTCTGCACAGCTGGCGATACAACGTCGCCAGACAGGCGCTACCCCAGCTGTAGCCTCGGATATGATCCCAGTCGTGGTCCAACAGCTGCACGTAAATGAGCTGGAGATGGATCCCGCTCTTATTCCCGAACAACACGCCCGAGATGAGGAAGAACAAGTACGCCCGGGCGTATCTCTGAACCTGGGCGTCATCAGCCCCCGGTGGTAGCTCACGGAAAGTCTCACGGACCCAGCCGGTCCTCAACCCGGATCCCCTAATATCGGCGGGACCTGGCTGGACACCAAGTACCCGACCAACCAAACCGACGGGATCGACTAACGCGTGTCCTGTCACCGCAGACCCATGTACTGGAAGGCGCGTAAGAATCGCCACGTCCCGTAACGTAACGGTCGTCTCACCAACAGGTAGGTGGAAGGAGTGCGTCTCCTGTCTCCACCTCTCCGCGAGCGCAGTGACAAGCGCTCGATCGATCTCCCTATACGCCATACGGTGAAAACCACCTAAACCGACAAACTCGACGTACGCCAAAACGCGAGGATCGATTCCCCACCCCACCATGAACCTGGTGGTGTAATGCCTGCAAACGAGCTGCTTTGCCGGATCAACCTGTTAGAAAGAAATTAAGATCATATACCATATAAACTCAACAAGCTGTAGTCCATGAACAAACAAATGCAATATTACCGTCTGATCCCATACGGCAACGCTGCGGTGTGTGCCCTGTAGTGTAAGCACAGAAGGGTCAACGGGTCCAGGCGTACGATCTTCACCGTCCATCGTATCTGTTCACATGCAATTTAACAAATCCCAACAGAGTTAACGCATTAGCAATTAACCAAAATGTTAACGATCAAATGTTCCAAATGTTATTAAATCAAAATGTTCCAAATGTTATTAAATCAAAATTTTCTATTACAAAATAATTCCTCCATCTACGATTACAACGAATTTCAGTTAACTACATTTTGTGACGCCATATTCTACATAACCAAAACACATTTTAGGATTATCGAAATCTAGAGCGAGGTAAATTATCAACACTGAAATAAGACTCTTCTCACCAATAACAACTTCACTTTCAACAACTTCACCAATTTCAACAATTTCATGAACAATTTGAATTATTTCAACAATTTCAACCTAAACTATTTCAATAATTTCAACAATTTCATCTCTTCTCACCAATTTCAACCATTAACAACTTCAACATTTTCACCATCATCAACTTCACCAATGTCATGAACAATTTCAATAACAATGTACCACATCACCATCAATAATTATCAACAATGTACCACATTTTCATTAATAATTAGCAACAATTACATGCAATTGACATGAATTAACAACAAGTAAGAGCAATTACATACAATTCACAATAATTAACCACAATAACTATGCAATTACACTCAATTCAGTTTAGGGCTAACCACGAAATTGAGTGAGTGAGTGTGAGAGGGAGGAGGGCAGCAGCAAGGTGGCGGCAGCAGCGGTGGCGCAAGGGTGGGCGGCGGCGGCAATGCGGGTGTTTGAGTACGGTCGTGGTTTAGTGTGAGAGGGAGGAGGGAAAGCGTTGAGGTTGAGGTTGAGTTCTTGCGCATTCTGCTGAAGTGAACATGCTGATATATGGCCATGAAACGCTGTCCCGGACAGCGTTTCATTTAAAAAAAAAACAGGGCATAAAACGCTGTCTCGGACAGCGTTTTACCCATTGAATTTTTTTTTAAAAAAACCCAAGGATAAAACGCTGTCCGAGACAGCGTTTTATGCCCTACTGAATTTAAAAAAATACAGAAGGTAAAACGCTGTCTGGGACAGCGTTTACCAGTTGAATTTTTTTTAAAAAAAAAACCAGGGGTAAAACGCTGTCCGAGACAGCGATTTACCCTGGAAGCTTAGTTTGGTAAATAGTTTTGCCACGCAACCATTTTTGTCAATAGTTTACGTTTAGAGCTCAAATTGGTAAAACGTTCAAGTTTATAATTATTATTGCTAGTCTTTATGTTAGATTAGTGATATAACTTTGGCTTCATACTAGGTAACTTTAGTGATAAAACTTTGGCTTCATACTAGGTAACTTTACTGTTGATTGTTGATTGTTGATTTAAGCAGATGAAGAATTTAGTTTATTTGTGGGTCCTACTTATAAGCTAGCAAGCTACTTTGTTACTTAATTTGATGAGATTTGCAATTCACCACCAGCTTTGGTACTAAAAGATGCATATTAGGTACTAATAGATGTAGTAAGAAAAAGTTTGCTCTATAATATGAAAAATTTCGGTCTATAATCTGAAAAAAATTCCCTCCTAATATCATCGGCAGCAGCCCTGCCTGCAGTGACAGAGGCAGCAGCCCTGCCTGCGGTGGCAGAGACAGCAGGGCAGAGGCAGCAGCCCTGCCTACAGTGGCAGAGGCAGCAGCCTGCCTATAGTGGCAGAGGCAGCAGCCCTGTCTGCAGTGGCAGAGGCAACGTTAGCAGCTTGCGTTTTCGGTTCCTATCCCCCTCTTTTAGTTTTGGTTGTGTTGTTTATTGCGTTGTTACAGTGTCCTCGTGAACCTGCATACACAAAGTATTGTGGGTTCTTTGTTTGTCGATATGCTAGATATTACAACTACATGTCATTTAAATTGGTATTATCAACTTATGCAATTAATATCTGCAATTTGCTAACTGCTATAAGGTTCTGTGGTAATGAATTAGGGCATTAATGGAGGCCCTTCGTTTTGTGCTATTAGAATATTAGTTGTGTGTTTGTTTGTTGCTTACTACTCCATATAATTCTTGCATTATTTTCATTGCTAGATCCTTAATTATATGCTGTGAGATATAACTGTAAAGGGGGTGTTTGGAATGGTTAGAATGGGAGTGGAAATGTGAAAGGAGTGAAAGTTCTGGTTTATTCCTTCATGTTTTTGGCATTAGAGTAATGATATATTCTTTGAAAAGCGGAGAGTGTAATTTTCCTCCCACCTTCTCTCTCTGCCAGTTTTATCTCTGCTTCCCTTTTCTTTTCTATATACTGATCTTTAGTTCTGATTTTTAAGTTTGATTTTAGGTCTGATTTTCATTTCTGAATCAGTCTTGAAATTCAGTTTGGAATGAATTTTTCTGATCCCTATGGAATTTCATTTTAAGATTTCAATTCTGAATTCCAGATCTGAATTAGTCATGATTTTCAGTTCTGAAATTTCTGTTCTTCAGTTCTGATTTTCAGGTTTGAACTAACTTTGAAATTCTAATGCTTTTTGATGGGTTACGAAGGATATCAGTCAACTATATAAATACCTTATGTTAGACAACAGTTCTTATTTAATGGCATATGTTATTTCAATACTCTTATTTAATGACATATGTTGTTGCAGGTCTTTCCCCAGGATCCTTGTACATATTCTTCGGAAGACATTGATGAAATAAGACTTATGGATTAAATATGTTCTTGATCATGAGCCAGTTGAAGAAGCTTAGTGATTGATGGATGGGCTTAATGATGAATGAGCTGAGCGTGAGTATGAGATTAGCTTAGTGTTAATCATTATACTTGTAAATCTCTACTTTTGTATTTTGTTTTTGAATATTAGTAATGTAAATTTTGGGTTATAATTCTATTGCGAAGAATTAATATATATAGGATCATATGAGAAGACCTCTTATGGTGAGAAGGGTGAGAAGCAATCTCAGCCATCAATTCTTGATATTTTGCGGTCAGGATTATAACTTGATTGTTAGTCACTTAAAGCTCTAAATAGTGTGTTTGGATATTAAAAAGGGAAGGAAAAGAAGGGGAGGGAGGGGAAGAGAAGGTGAAGGGAGGGAAGAAAGATAGTTTTCCTTCCAAATCTTTCCATTGATGGAGAGATGAATTTCTTACAATTTAATCCCTCCATTTCTCTCCCCTCCAATTCCCTTCCTTTCTCATTTGTTATCCAAATAAAAGATAACCAATCCCTTCATTTCCCTCCATTTCCTCCAATCTAAACACACTTAAAGTAAAAACGAAAAGCTACTGCACGATGATTTTTATTTCGTTTTCTGGCCAAGCAAGCCTCTATCTCCCTAGTTTTCTCAGCTAAACTCTCAACATTTAATCCATTAACATAGCTTCTAATTTGTTCCAATTAATTGTATAAGATTTCGCCCCCACCTCTTCACAAGTATGATTTCTTTCTCCTCCAATAACCCTTTACTGGCAATTTCAGCAACGTTAACTTAACCCTCTTTCCCTTCACTGTAATCACTCAACTTGCTATTGTCGATTGCCGAATCTCATTGGACAGAAAAAAAGGCCTAGAAAATGATAGAGATTGTACTCATATATGAGGTTTGAAGGTGATTTGTTGACAAATTGACTGTATGAATCTGATTTATCAATAGTGAAGATGATGAAATTTTTTAAATTTGGAGTTTAATTTGGATTATTACAAATTCTTATGATAATTGCATATTGAATCTACTCACTTCTCATCTCTGTTGAGTCAAACAAAATTGATGGAAACAAATTTTGTCTCGATGTACTTGTTATATACCAGTACACTACTAAAAACTAATGTATCTGTAGTATACTAGTAATGTACCTTCAATATACTAGTCATGTGCCTGTAGTATACTAGTAATGTATCTATAATTATTCTATTAATAGGGGTGTCAATTCGAGTAAACAGTTCGGGTTTGGGTTGGGCTTATCAGTTTCGGGTTATAACGGGTCGGTTTATAACAGGTTGAAAAGATTAGCCGGTCGGTTTGGGTCGGTTTTGAAAATCATCGGGTAAGTTCGGTTTGGTTTTTTTTATTGCGGTTTTTATTCGGGTCGGGTCCTAATCGGGTCGGGTTGCAGTAGGTTCGGGTCATAATCAGTTTGGGTTGAATCGGGTCGGTTTGAAAACGGTTTAGCTAGTTTAAAGTGGGTTTCGGTTCAAAAACAGTTCGGGTCCTAATCGGATCGGGTTGTAATCGGTTCGGGGGTCATAATCAGTTTGGGTTAAACTGGGTCGGTTTGAAAATGAGTTTCGGTTTAAAGCAGATCGGGTGAAATCGGGTTCGATCATTATCGGTTCAGGTCATAATCGGTTTGGATTGAACTTGGTCGGTTTGAAAACAGGTTTACCCAATTTAAAGCGGGTTTTAGTCCAAATCATATTGGGTTAAAATCGAGTCGGACCATTATCGAATCGAGTTAGTCAGATAATGGGTGGGAACGGGTCATGTTATAATCAAGTTAAGTCATAAATAAGTTAGGTTTATCGAGTAGTGGGCTGAAAAGGATCAGACCATAAACATATTAAGGTACGGGCTGTAAACGACTCAGTCATAAAAGGTTACCGGTCGTAAACGGTTCTATCTCAATGGGTTACGGGTCGTAAACAGTTCGGTCTCAACAGGTTACGGGTTGGAAACGGTTCGGTCACAACGGGTTACGAGCTATAAATGGTTCGGTCACAACGGGTTACGGGTTGGATCGGTTCAGGTTTATCAGATTTTTGCCGGGTTTAAACAATTTTCGGTTTAAAATGGGTCGGGTTACTATTGGGTTCAGACGTAATCGATTCGGGTTGTTGTCAGTTTCAGGTTGTAACAGTTTGGCTTGATAACGGGTTGGGTTAGTAACGGTTTGCACAAATTCGGTTCAGTTCAGTTTCGGGTTAGAAAAAATTGGGTCGGGTCGATTTTCGGTTTCCAAAAAATGGGTTTTTACCGATTTAGTTTCTTTTCGGATCGATTCGAAACAGTTGATTCGGGTTAGAAACTGACAGCTCTAATCTGTAACTATATTATAAATTTGAACAGAAACTTGTAACACTACTTTTTTTTAAAGTAGTCACGAGTGCCAAAGGTGAGATATGGATTCAGGGAAAGGGTGAAAGAAAGTCATGTCTACTTTTGTTTGATCAAGTGAATTTGTTGATGTATTTGCAATAATTACTTAACGTATCCTTAATATTAACTTAATGTACTTATAACATATACTTAATGTATCCAGATTTTTCACACTTCTCACCTCAAGTGCCCTTCTCACCAGATCCCAAATATTGAATAGGGTTACAGCAGGTACAAGAACATTATTGGCGCTAAAATTTATTACATCGATCAATATATGTATTGCAACAGAGATACCAAAATGCAATTATTTAAAAAAAAAAAAGAGAGAGAGAGAGAGACAAAGACCCTATTTTAAATAGGTGGTCTCAATTTTTTTTTAATCCAGAGACCCCTTATTTAGGTAGGTGGTCTCAGTTTTTTAATCCAGAGATCACCTATTTGAAAAATTGGGTCTCTTATCCTTCTACAATTTTAAATTTTAAATTAAAAAAGAGACCTTTCATTTTAAATAGGTGGTCTCAATTTTTGTAAAGTTAGACCACTTTTGATGAAGTGGTCTCTTTGGCCAAAGAGACCACTTAGCTAGAGACCGACCACCCCTAAGGTAGTCTCTTTGACCATTTTGAAATGGTCTTTTTGGCCAATTCTGTAATAGTGCAAACAGAAATTAGGCCTATTTTCTAGGTACATAACATTTTGGATTTGCATTAATGTTGTAGGATCCTAGAAAAAATTGTCACATGTATAATATCCGAAATAGACTAAGCGGTATTTAAATAAACAAGTTACGCATATGTTGAGTCCAAGACCTTAATACGCTTTGTTTCAAAAATAAATTAATAACTCCTTAAATATTAAATCTTGAAAAGAAAGGTATAAGATTTGATTTGATAGAAGCTCAATTAATGGTTCCAAAGTTGCCATTCGACATTTTTCAATTTAATCGGCCTAAAAAACATACTCCCCTAAATTCTTTATTTCTTGTTGTCCAAAAAAGAAAAAAAAAAAAACTCTTTATTTCTATACCATTGCTCATGGTATAAACGTATAATTACCTATTTCTATACCATTGACTTATTATATACAAAAAATATTATTAAAAAAAAAAACTAAAAAAAAAAATCACCCTCGTCTGTAATCCAAGTTGGCGTCAATTTCGTTACACCTTTCATTACTAGAGTTCAAAATAATCCTCAAAACAATACTCCCCTAAATTCTCTCAAAAAAAAAAAAAAACATCATTCCTCCTTAAAACTAAATCAATTACTTTTTTGTCATCTCCTCTCAAATCTATCCTTGATCAAAATAACATTCATGCTTCACACCCACGCATCCTATTTTATCTTTCATGTGTGCAAGTAAAACAACATTTAAGACAAAATGGGTTGCGGAGGATCTAAGCTGGAGTCGGAACAAGAGGCTGGCCTCCGACCAATCCTTCGTCGTAGGATCGACGAGTTTCTAGCAAGAAGAAACGCTGGGCTTTCCAAGAAGCAACTCCTTGCAGGCGACGTTACTGCCTCTCATCGTTCTGAAGTAGAAGAAGAGGAAGAAGAAAAAGAAGAGATCGTTACTAAGGAAGATAAAACGTCTATTTCGCCTCCTAATGCTTCTGATGACGATCATGCCTCCTTTCTTAAACAAGATAGCCCTCCTTCCCCTCAAAAAATTTCTAACATTGATGATAATAGTGCATCAATATTATTTTCACCTATATTAGAGGATATAAATGATGTTATTAACATTAAAAATGATGTTAACAACGTTAAAAATGATGTTATTATTAATGATGTTGATGAAATAAAATTTGAATATAATTTGCATGACAATGAAGTAATCAAGGAGGAGGAATGCACGTTTGATCAAGATGAGCATGAGAGATCGGAGTTGTTGTCTCCGAGCTCCCCTAGTTTTCGAGTTTATTGTGTTCATTCTCTTGACGAAGAAGAGCTAGATGGTAATTTCTTTCAATTTGCTTATAGAACAATTTATTTTATTTCATGCAAAATTATTCTATTGTGGAAATGTTTTATGGAAAAAAATAATTATAATGCTAGGGCAAGATGTTCATTTAAGATGAAATGTGTTGTTCAATTAATAGCTTAGAGATATGTTTTAATTATATGCGAGAATTCAATTTAGGAGATCCTTCAACATGAGAGGCTATATATTTATCATCCTCTCTTTTGCTAATTAAAATTAAAAATTACTGGTTCATCTTTTATACATAAATTAGCCTTTTGGTCGTGCATGACAGGTAAATTGAAATAGGAAAAACGTTAACAATTTGTTGTATGTTCCTTGGAATAATTTCAATGAATGTTTTAGGAAAAATGTTGTAACTGTTGTGTAATTGAAAAATCTATCAATTAATTTAATGAAAGTTAAAGAGGTGGGGAAGAAAAGAATTATTCGTATATGAATTGAACCGGTAAATGAATACAATTGATGAAGAATGTTGAAGGGATAATTTAAATGTTGGAGATGAATGAGAAAGATGAAGTGTTAAGATAAGAGAAATTGTACAAAAATTCTTTAAAAACTTATGATAAAATAGATTCAAAGAGTGAAGGAGGGGAGGACATGTGTTTATGGTTTGTGTTTGCATGTATAGATACTGGCATTTGTTATAAAATTTGCTTGATTTATGACAAGATAATGAGTACACAAAATTGACTTAGAGTGGGTTAATCATATTTTTTTTCTAAAATTGTGTTTTTTTTTTTTTTTTTGAAACATAAAATTGTTTTGTTATATGACAACCTTTATAGAAATCCTTATAAATATTGCTAATAAATTAATTTCAATTTACTTTTAAATTAGTTTTATTTATTTGTTATGGGAGATGTTATATATTAACTAGTACTCCCTATGTTCCAAAACGTTCATCTTGTTTTGAATTTAAGACTATGATGAACAATTATTAGGAGCTGAAAAGAATGAAGTATGAACAAATAAATAATTCGTGACAATAATTTGTAAATATTGTTACATTTCTCAAGTTCTACACCTCTACACAGATGTTGTAGGACAACTTGAACCAGTAGAAGAATGCAGCCAAGAAGATGATAAAAATTGGTTACGACAAGAATCATCTAATTCAAATGAGGTATATATAACACATACGTTTGTTTTAATTAATTTTATTATTACCCTAATCTTTTGCTCCCTTTAATGCTAGATTAATCTTGGTTTATTATAATTATAATTTTAATAATTAGCAGGTAGTGGAAGAGAAGCACACCATATTGAAGAAGCATAAAAGAGTGAAGATGTTTAAGATAGGAACTCCAAAAGGAGGAAAACATATTTTTCATAACATGCATTATTCGTTATATCACCTTCCTTGTACTTCACACAATTCTCATTTCATTCAACAAGCAGCTGCGTGATAATATTCAATGAAACATACATACGTCGCGTCTCTATAATTATTAGGAGGAGCTTAATTCTCAATTCGATCTAGGAGAGAAATAAAGGAGGGATTTGAAATGGTATTTGATTTTCCTAGTAATGATTTTTCAGTTTCGTTTTTATGTGTAGGAAGATGATATGATCTTACTATAGCAAACCTACAGCGTAGTTGCGGGCATGATTTCATGCATATTCTATGATTTTCTTGTAGGAAATGCAAAATATTGCTTGATCTTTTCTCATCTTCAATGTTCATCTATTTTGTTATATGAAAAATATGTCCTTGTGATCATTTGGTAAGAATAACACATTAACGCATATGTTGTTTCGATTGACACTGTAACTTAAGTTGAAATGTCATTTTAAATAGGAACGAAGCTTCTAGCATAGTCGTCGACTACGGACGACTATGTTCGACTATAATAAGATATTAAATCTGAACCGTTGATATTGTTTATTGCTTAATCATAGCCTTCAAATATTACATTTTTAAAACATTAAAAAAAAAATCTAATTTACACATCATTTATGTCATGATAAATCAGCAACCAATCAATAAACTGTTGTTTGTTTTCTTACTTTAAGAGGGTAATTTTTTTTTATTTTTTTTTTATATATTTTTTTTCAAAGAAACTCAAACTCCATTGAATTGCTAACTCAACCTTCATCCTCATTTTGATTGTTTATCTATTGGTCAGGCATACTTCATCTTCAACCTTCTTTCTTCATCTAAAATCCATCCATAGATTACCAACGTTTATAAGAAATTAATATATTTAATCTATAAGTATCATGATTATTCTTCAATTATATGTCAAATTAATTTTATAGATTATAATCAATCTGATTATCTTGGTAAACATTTTCATTTAAAAAATCTTCTATCATATCTTATGATTTCATGTTTATTTAATATTAATTATATATCTTTTTATTTATCCACCATTGTTGAATATTGAAGCTCTCAAATTTAAACAACAATGCCATTGTTGAAGGTTCAAGATCTCAAATTGATAATAACCGTAAATTAGGAAGATGGTCATTTGATTTTAAATAAAATTAAAAAAAATAATATTTACATTGATTTTAGAAATAATGAAAATAGAGTTATTTACCCCCACCCCCCCAAAAAAAAAAAAAAAAAAAAAACCCTGAAATTATGTGATGTTGTAGCTTGTTTTCCGTGAATTGGGGGTGATAGGTTTGACTAAATTTACCTTGATTATCTTTACCTAAAAATGATTTGCTACAAAATTACAATATATTTAAAGATTGATTTTTTTTTACCAAATTTGCGTATTAACATTTAATTTTTAAAAATATATAATTAGAAATTTGTTACTCCGTATTATATTCATATTTAGCTTTTTAAGCCAATTAATTAAAAGGTTTTTATTTTATTTTATTTTTTTTATGGCAATGGGAGGGGGAGAATTTATTGTATAACAAAATTACACCAAGTCCAGCTCCGCAAGAGCAATAATACTCAGTGAAGATACAATCATCACCCTACAAAGCATCAAGTCTAGCAGCCCAATGTGCTATGTGTTACCTCCTCTACGAATATAAAAGCAAAAAAAAAAAAAAAAAAAAAAAAAAAAAAAAAAAAATTACTCCCTAACAAGCTTATATCCTCAATGATCAGTTCATAAGCTTAAATTAGTGTGATTTAGATAATGATTTTTGGTTTAAGGATCAAATATATCCCGCGTGCCATTGATGAAAGATGATTAGCCTCATTAAATTCATACAAAAAAAAATTATTTAACACTTTATTTTATTATTTTAAACAAATTGGTTTAAAGGGAATTATGATCTTTTAAGTTATTATAAAATATTCATGTAGACGTAAAATGATTTTGTAGAATAAGTAATCATTTATACATTGTATCTTGTTCACCATTAATAAGTTATTATGTCCGAAGTAAAAAAACTCCGCACATTTCCTCCAAAAGAAAAAAAAGAAGAAAAAAATTTAGCTTTGCCTAAACTAAAGATAAATATGATAATAATAAATTACACGTCAATGCTGATCACAAAATCATAAATATAAAAACAACAAAAATTTATCAAGTTAAAGATAAATATGATAAATTAAAGATCTTAAAAAAGAGTTGTTAGGGATGATTTTAATTTTGGAGAATATTTGAGAAAATCTATACTTCATAATTATAACTAATAAGAGTTATTCTATTACCAAAATTGTATATTTAAAATTTTAATTGGACAAAAAAATAATAAAATACATGTATTTGAAGTTTTGAAGTAACTTTTTTTTTAGGTACACGTATTATTATATAAACTAGTTTTGTTCTCCGGCGATGTCCGGGTTGTCCTAAACCTTTTAACTTAAATGTTAAATACGATCATGTAACCCCTTTTGATAATGAAAAAATGTTAAATACGATCATATAACCCCTTTTGATAATGTAAGAATGTAATATACGATCATATAACCCCTTTTAATAATGTAAAATATTTAGACACACGATATCATATCGCTTATTTATATTATAGTGTACTTTTTGTAGTTTTATTTGTAAATAGATATCTACGTTATTAGTTTACCAAATTAAAATTATTTTTTCTGATTAAAACTTATTTTTACTGATTTTCTATTATAAATATATTGATAATAAAACACTATACAATAGTTTTATCTTACAAAAATCTATCCAAAATTCGCTAACTTAGCATGTGTCACAATAATACCTATTTTCCGCCTATGTGGCTCGACACTTGGCAAAAAACTGAAATGCCAAGTGTCGCTGTCTCGTGGCCTGACTGCGAGACCGACTTTATATATTAGTGATATATATGATAGTCTTTGCACTTATTTTTATGTTTCTATTTTACCGATTTTGTGAATATTATGTACGCAATACTTTTGCAAAAGAGAGAACGGGAGTGACACATATCATCTCCTAATTATATAATTTCCCGCCTAAATATGTACACATATTTAAAATGAGACATTTCTAATAAAAAAAATTAAAAAAAATAGATTTAAATGGAATACTCCTTACAATTCTCATTTAGGTCATCGACATACTATTTTGTACAAATACTTGAATAAAAGGTGATACTGAAAGTAAATACCTCGTGTCGTATTATTTTTCACACATAATAGTTGGGATTATATAGATCCAATTTCCTTTTAAATATAATTAGGATGTCCCAAATAGTTATTGTGTAGTCCCAATTCTCCCGAATAGAGAGGTACAATAGAATTGCCTATCATTAAAACAAAATAAAAGATAAAAATTAATCTTATTTCACTTAGCTTTTTTTTTTTTTTTTTTTTTTTTTTTTTTTTTTTTTTTTAAATAATAATAGTACTACCCTTTTACGAAATATTTTCCTTACATAAAATTCTTAATATAATGTGCAAATCATAGCATTATTTCCCTACTCCAAACTACAATTCAGGTTGTCCCAAAAGTAACATATAGAGTACGATTAACTACTTTAATTTGTTTACTTTCGCCGTTAAATGTTAATTGCAATGTTTCACGGATTTCATGGCAAAACTTTTAAGGGGTTTAATTAAAAATAAGGGTATGTAAGTAAGGGTGGAAGAGAGAGTGTGGAAAATTAATCCAAGCTTAAACACCCATTGTCACCACCACGACCCGCCAACAACCACCCACAACACCTTCAGTCCTTCACCAGGCCACCACCCACCCAGCCCAGTTGAATCGAGCCACCCACACCCCCACGAAACCCACCACCCCCGAAAACCCACTACCACGAATCCCACAACCCCCCACGAAACCCAAACCCACGACCAACGAACCTAGACCTAACCCACAAAACCCAAGAGCACCACCCAGAACCACCACCCACAAAACCTAGACCCAAACCAACGAAAACCAAACCCAGTGGTGGTTCTGGGCCGGAGCAAGGTGGTCGACAGAACAGGGCCCCCAAATTTGAGGGGCCCCAAAATTTAGATATATATAATTAAGTTTGGCATAATATCCTGAAATTACCTTGTGTATACTAGGTCTTGGGTTCAAGACATGCATCAAACAATTTTCTAATTTTTTGGGGAGCTGACAGCTGGCTCTGCCCAAAAAATCAGATTTCTTTTTTCCCCAAAATTTTTCAATCTATTATTTCAATTCCAAAAAAACTCTTTATCTTCTAAACTCTATATTTTTCATTTACTTTCTTTTATTATCTTCTTCATTTTCTTCAATTATTCAACTAGTTTTCAAAATTTTTCATCTCCCAAAATTATTTTTCCCTATATTAGTTCATAATTTCAACGGTTAAATCTTCAATTTGAAGATGAAATTAATTATTAAACCGTTGTTAATCTCCCAATTTTTCCTATATATGCATTTTATTTACTCTTTCAATTTTACAAATAAAAAAGAAATCTTTAAGATAATCTTAAATCCAAAGTTCTTTTCAACTATTGTGAGTATAGCTATAGCTAGTAATCGGAAAAAAATTCATCACAAACCTCTTCGGATTCATCCCGGATACGACTTTTTGTTAAATTTTAATATCTGGGTATGTTGAATTATTTCTTGTTGTTTAATTTAATTGCATTTTTCTGATTTTTATTAACTTTTTTTTTTGAATTTTGTGGGTGGGATTGTGGGAGCAGAAGAACACTTTCAGAAGAACACTTTTGATTGACGCTTGCTGTGTATATCAAATAAAAATTGGGTATTAAATTTATCGAGTAGAAGGCCCCATTTTAAAAAGTTGAATAGGGCCCCATAAATAATTTGCAATTTTAGCCCCGGCACTGACCAAACCCACCGCAAAGAAAACCCAGACCCACGAACCATGAAACCAAGTCCATCGCAACAAAATCCAGACCCACGAACCATGAAACCAAGCCCACCTCCATGAAATGAACCACAAACCCACAAACCCACGAACCACAAACCAAACCCACCGCCATGAAAACCACCACCTCAACGAAACTCACCAACGAGATCAACAGATCTGGGATCGAAATGCTAAAAATGTGATCTTGTTCTTTAATTCTTGAGAATGGGGTTGAAGGCGGAATGAGAAAGATAATGAGGAAGATGAATAAGGTGAAAAATTTGATGAAGAATGTGAAAAAATTAGATGAATGGATGAAGGAGGAGGAGAGAGAAAGATAATGGGAAGAAAATCTGGCACAACTAGTTAAATTGATTAAAGTAGATTAGTTATTAATTAATTATGTTTTAAGTGTGTAATTGGGGTTATAAAATTTTAAGTAAGAGTGTTTTTGTACTTTTATTTGAAATTTTTTCTAAAAATGGTAAAATTTGGAATTGTTGCAATTAATTTTTAATGTCC